GCTGTGCTTCTGGTTAAATGCTATGTAGAAGGCAGCTGAGACTACTTTGAAGCAAGCCAAAAAACCTGAGTTGCTATAGAACCCTAAGTATTCTGCAAAGTCCCAGACCCTTCAATTTTACCTTGTGGATTGGGCAGAGAAATGACACAATAAAATAAATTTTACTCATTCTCTCCTGGGCACTCTGAGATTCAGAAAGAGACTACCTTAACCCTTAGGGGAAAATCTATTTCTCTTTTTATGTGTCTAATAGAGACTTTCTCTTGGATCTGTTCTGGATGCCAGTGTCTCTACTGGTTTCATAATCAGCCAAAGCCCTAATCATGCATGCCAAAGGAGGGTCATGACGACCCATGAACAGATTTTGGAAGTAAATATACCCTAAAGAAAGCTCCTGGTTTCCAAATTGTTTAATTTCCTGGCTAGAAGAGCCAGAATGACCAAAGCCCACAAAGTAACTGTTACTTGCTCAAGCTTAAGTGACTCTGCAGGCTTCACGGTGCTTGCTGCCTTATGATTCTATCTCCTTCATCTTTTTTTTTAAATAAGACTTCTGACATCGATACAAATGCTGGCTCTTAAGGCTATTTTTCTCCAGCAAACTGATTGCAGGCTATAAAGATGTTCAATAGCAATTAGCTTTTATTGTTCTCATCTCACTTATGTGTATAGGAGCCATCAAAATGTAAAATGTGTACATCCTCCGACCTAGCAACTCCCCTTCTAGGAATTTATCCCCACAGATGTGTTCACACGTGAGTGCAAGGACATATGCACATGGATACTAATTTACAGCATGATTTAAAGCAGGAAAATAATGGGCACAACTAAATACGAGACTGGTTAAATAAATAAGGATGCAGCCATATAGTATACAGCAGGGCAAGCACGTGGAAGATAACCCTGCACATTGATGTGGAGTGATCAGCATACAAAGCAAGGTAGGAACAGTGTCTCGAGCATGCTATAAAGTTGTTTTGTTTGGATTTGTTTTGAGACAGGGACTCACGCTGTCGCCCAGGCGGCACAATCACAGCTCACTGCAGCTCAACCCCCCGGGCTCAATCGATCCTTTCACCTCAGTCTCCCGAGTAGCTAGGACTATAGGTGCATTCCACCATGCCCAGCTGATTTTATTTCTTTTTTGTAGCGGCAAGGTCTCATTATGTTGCCCAGGCTGCTCTTGAACTCCTAGACTCAAGCAGTCCTCCCAACTCAGCCTCCCAAAGTGCAGAGATTACAGGCATGAGACACTGTACCCAGTCAAGATTTTTTGTAAAGGGAATACATATTCACATGTGTGTGGCTAAGTGGGTATACACACACACACACACACACACACACACACACACACACATCTCTGAAGTAACTAAAGAAATGCATCAGCTAAGCCTCTGTAGTCCCAGCTACTTGGGAAGCTGAGGTGGAAAAATAACTTGAGCTCAGGAGTTCGAGGCTATAGTACGCTATGATCATACCTGAGAATACCCAGCCTGGGCAACATAATGAGATGGCCCATCTCTTAAAAAAATAAAAAAGAAAGAAATGGATCAAGGTAGTTGCCACTGGGAAAGGGAACTGAAGTGAGGTGGGGACAAAGTAGAGGCCGTTCTGTATCTTTTCTGCAGCGCTTTTTTACCCTGTGTATAAAATTATTTTCATGCACATACACACACTCCCAGTAAAGAATAGCCATCAAAGGATTAACCTTGCCAACACTATGTAACAGTGGCATCTACTGGTAAAATCACTTCCTATCCCGAAGTATATCTTAGAAAAGAAAACCCATAGTTTTCCTGGTATAGCCATTTCAGCTATTAGTCAGGAAATATGTTCATATCAAAGACTCATAAGGAACCCTTCCTTGGTATTAGGCCTTCTGAGCATAAGCCTTAAAAGTACCATCTGGCTGGTAAGTTATGGTTCATTATGATTTGAATTACAAGCTATAAAAAAGTGAAGAATACATCTATGTGCTTCTGTGGGGTGATCTCCAGCATACAGTGTTAAGTGAAAAGTGCAATGCAGGAACAAACTGTGCAGAGTATGCTACCATTTCCCTAAGAAGGGGAGTGGATTACAAAGACATACAGCTTTACTTACATCTAAATGGAAAGATAAACCGAGAAAAAAAGAATGAATGGTTACCATAAGGGAAATGAGTGAACAGGCTACAGTGGACAGAAATAGAATTAGATTTATCTAAATCAGTGGTTTTCACCAGGGTGATTCTGCCCCTGCCCCCAAGAGATATTTAACAATATCTGGAGATACTTTTAGTGTCACAATTGGGCAGGGGTGAGGGGGAGATACTGGCATCTAGTGGGCAGAAGCTCCCACACACAACAAAGAATGATCTGTCCCCAAATGTCGATAGCACAGATTATATATTTGATAAGGAACTTATATCTAGAACATATAAAGAACTCTTATAACTCAATAATAAAAATGCAAATACCCAAATTTTAAAACAGACAAAGGATGTGAATGTACATTTCTCCAAAAAACACACACAAGTAGCCAATAAACACATGAAAAGATGCTCAACATCCTCAGCCGTCAGGCACAAACTGCAAATCAAAGGCACAATAAGACACCACTTCACATCCACTAGTATGGCTATCATCAGAAAGACAGAAATAACAAATGTTCACAAGGATACGGAGAAATTAGGACCCTCATACACTGTTGGCAGGAGATGAAAATGTTGCAACCACTTTGGAAAACAGTCAGGCAGTTCCTCAAAGGGTTAAACACAGAATTACCATATGACCCAGCAATTCCACTCCTGGTGAAACGAAAACATACGTCCACACAAAAACTTACACATGAATGTTCACAGCAGCATTACTCACAATGCCAAAAGGTAGAAGCAATGCAAACGCCCATCAATGGATCAATAAAACGTTGCATGTCCATATAATGAAATATTTATTGGCAATAAAAAGAAACAAAGTACTGATACATGTTACAACATAGACAGACCTTGAAAACATTATCGTAAGTAAAAGCATAGCAGCCCCAAAAGGCTACATATTGGATGATTCCATTTATATGAAATGATTCAAATAGGCAAATCTATAAAGACAGAAATCAGACTAATGGTTTCCTGGGGCTGGTGGGGACAGGAGGCATAGGCATGTCAGCTAAGGCGTGTGGGGTTTCTTTTTGGAGTAATGAAAATGGCCCAAAATTGATTGTAATGAGAGTGGCCCAGATCTGTGAATATGCTAAAAAACATTGTATGATACAGTTTTCTGTTCGTTTGTTTGAGACAAAGTCTTAGGTACCCAGGGCTGGAGCGCAGTGGCACAATACTGGCTCACTTCCAGGTTCAAGCAATTCTCCTGTCTCAGCCTCCCAAGCAGCCAGGATTACAGGCATGCACCACACACCCGGGCAATTCTTTATACTTTTAGTAGAGACAAGGTTTCGCCTTGTTGGCCAGGCTAGTCTCAAACTCCTGATCTCAAGTGATCCACTCGCCTTGGCCTCCCAAATTGTTGGGATTACAAGCATGAGCCACCGAATCTGGCTGGATTATACAGTTTAAATGGCTAAATTCTGTGGTCTATGAATTCTCTCTCAAAAGAGCTATTTAAAAATCCAATTGTGATTCTGAGGTGCGAGCTCCATTAGAAGTAGGTGCCCAGCATCAGGGACACGACTGGGTGTGCACAGGCGGTTGGCGAACAGGCTGACTGAAGGCCAACCATCACCTTGCAGAGTGCGCTCTGCTCTGTTAGCGCTGAGCACAGTAGCACGGGGCAGAAGGTGAAGGCAGGGAAAGTGAAGAGGTCAGGAAAGGCTTCCCCAGATGAACAGGAAGTTGTCGGTAGCCGAGTCGTTGTTGTTAATTAAATTATTCACTGGTTTTATTGAGATTCCGGGAGGAGAGAGATTTTAGGCAGGGGGACATCTCAGGTATAGGGAACCTGAGACTGCATCTGAAAAATGAGTTCAGACTGTCCAAACATCAAACTCAAGGCGTGCAGCCTGGGCAACACAGTGAGACCTCATCTCTACAAAAAATTTTTAAAAAATGAAGTGGGAAGATGGTTCGAGCCCAGGAGGTCTAGGCTGCAGTGAGCCATGATCGTGCCACTGCACTCCAGACTGGGTGACAGAGACCTTGCCTCAAAAAAACACAAAAAAGCAAAAAACTTAAAGCCTGGGAGGAATCAGGACGCCTTGGGATGAATCAGCAGAGCAGCAGGTGACAGAGCGCAATAGCTTTGGGACCCAGCCCAGAATCCTCAACTGAATATTTTAAGGGAAAGAAACTGATGGAAGATGAGGACTGGCAGCAGAATCACTGTCACTTTTGTTTTAGAAAGACAGATGACCACCAGTGTGGAAAATAGGCAGACTGGCGATGAGTCTGGAGACAGGACAGCTCATTTATTTATAGTAGATGTTATAAATTGTTGTCACAGCTGATTTAATCCTTTCCTAAACATTAAGCTTGAAAGCTGCAACAGAGAAATCAGTCCAGGACTGTGACTGTCTTTAAGGCACAGCTGAGAAGATGAACTATCAAGAACAAAGGAATTTAATGTAAGAATAATAATAATTTAAAATGTTCTGGTGTTGTAAAGAAAAAATAATCATAGCCCCCCACATATACTTTTTTTTTTTTTAAGAGGGTGTCTCACTCTGTTGCCCCAGCTGGAGTGCAGTGGCACAATCTCAGCTCACTGCAACTACCACCTCCAGGGTTCAAGCAATTCTCCTGCCTTAGCCTCCCAAGTAGCTGAGATTACAGGCACCCACCACCACGCCCAGCTAATTTTTGTATTTTTAGTAGAGATGGGGTTTCACCATGTTGGCCAGGCTAGTCTCGATCTCCTGATCTCAAATGATCTGCCCGTCTCGGCCTCCCAAAATGCTGGGATTACAGGCATGAGCCACCATGCCCAGCCAATAGTCCCTTGTGAATTTAGGCAAGAGCCAAGACCCAAATGACAATGACTGGACCCAGAAAAAAACAAGCCACTTACCAGAGGAACTGGGGCATCTGGCCTAAATTCGGTGGAATCAGCATCTGAAGATTAAGAAAAGAGTTCAGTAATTCACCAATAGTGCTGAAAAATACTTGAAGAGAGAATTTTTTTTAAATAAATGGTCATTAACAAATCTCAAACTTACCTTTCAAGTTAAGGCAGTTTCTTGCAAATTCAATCACTGCTAGTTGCATCCCAAGACAAACTCCTATTTTAAAAAGCACATATGCAAAGCAAATGAATACACTTTGTATTTGTTCATATTTTCAATTCATTTGTTGACTGCCTGTCTCCCCCATCTAGAATGCAGACTCCCAGAGAGCAAGACTCTGCCCGTTTTGCTCCCTGCTGTCCCCTCAGAACAATCCCCGACAGAGAGCAGGGCAGGGGCTTAGACTATCAAGAAGCCACCTAAGGCCCAGAATTGACAAAGAAGGAACACGAGGTCAGAAAAGGGCAGGGTCAACTGGGTGGCAGTGGCTCATGCCTGTAATCTCGGCACTTTGGGAGGCCAAGATGGGCAGATTACTTAGGTCAGGAGTTCCAGACCAGCCTGGCCAATGTGGTGAAACCACGTCTTTACTAAAAATACAAAAATTAGCCAGGTTTGGTGGCATATGCCTGTAATCCCAGCTACTTGGGAGGCTGAGGCAGGAGAATCACTTGATCCCAGGAGGCGGAGGTTGCAGTGAGCCGATATTGCACTATTGCACTCCAGCCTGGGCGACAAGAGTGAGACTCGGCTGGAGGGAGGGAGGGAGGGAGGGGTCCATGGGACAAATCTGCCACCTTCTAAATCTGCCACCTTCTAGATTTGTCCCTGAGTCGAGGCATCTCGGTGGGCTGCAGCGCCTGATTCCTTCACCCTAACTCAGAGGGAGTTTCCTGGGCTAAGATCTCCCACTCCTTCTCATGGTGACTTCACAACCATAAACACAGGATTGGCCAGAGGGTGAGCGCCTACAGGATGTCAGGCCACTAACCCACAGGACAACCCCATAACCCTCACTGTAAGGAAAAGTAGCAGTGTGGGGGTTGGAGACTCCACCGTGGCCCTGAGCATGGTGGGCAGTAGGGAAGGAGACACATGAGGGGACTAAACAGAGTGCTTGGTGATGAAGGAAGGCAGACGTGTGTGGCCCAAGCCTGTTGCCACAAACCCACATCCGCCTTCACTGCAGTCCACCAATTCTCTCCACTAAACAAATGCCAAAGAGCATCCCAGATGCTCCTCTGATAGATACATAAGAGGTACACAGAGGAAACAAAGAAGGGAGCAATCAATGTATCAGGGACGCCAGAACAAAAGTCAATAAGCAGGAAACAGCTGAGTCCTGGGGGGTGGTGGTGAAGGGGATTTCAGAAAGTTCCACATGGCTGGGACGTAAAGAGAGGCTATGCTAGAGGGAAAGCTAAAGACGTGCAGACCATTCCATACCATTAAAATCATCTGAGGAACATTAGTCACATTTAGACAAAAACTTCAAAAGAAAACAATGGCCCAGATGAGCTTAGACCAGTAAAACAAAACAAGGTATCAGGGTAACTGATCCAGGCTTCTATTTTGAAAATGGATCCTAAGAAGAGACAGTCTAAGAAGCTAATCAAAGAGCAGGTAATGGGGGAAATAAATGGTCTGCTGGCAGTAAAAGCCTATCCACTCGGCTCATAAACCCACCCAGCGGTCCACTGCACTGTGGGAAACAGACTCTCCGCAGTCCCCCTCCTGCCTGAATCCCCAGCTACAGGGCTGCCTCTCCCACCTCAAGGTCCCATTTCCTCTGGTTTCCCTGGCACAGAAGCCACACTTCACAATTTGAATAAAAGCCTTAAAAAGGCTCAACTCGGGTGGGCACGGTAGCTCAAGCCTGTAATCCCAGCACTTTGGGCATTCGAATCAGGTGGATTGCTTGAGCCCAGGAGTTTGAGACCAGCCTGGGTAATATAGCAACACCCCCATCTCTGTGAGAAAACACACACACACACACACAAATTAGCCAGGCACAGTGGTATGTGCCTGTAGTCCCAGCTACTCTGGAGACTGAGGAGGGAATTGGAGAAGGTAAGCACAGTTACATATGCAGCCCTCTCCCAGCCTCTGCTACCCAGCCAGAATAGCAGCAAGTTTTACTAGGATGAAAAACATTTACTGTAAAGGGTTCGATAGTAAAGATTCTAGACTCTGCAGGCCATAGGGTCTGAAACTCTGACACTGAACCACAAAAGCAGCCATAGACAATATGTAAACCAACTGGTATGGATGTGTTCCAATAAAGCTTTATTTATAAAAACAGGCTATGGGCCAAATTTAGAATATAGTTTACTAAATCTACAGCAGACTCTTTGGCACCTGAACTTTCAAATCTGAGTTCACATCTTTACGGTAACCCCTCCTAGGTGTCAAAAATCTAATAAACTCAGAATTAGGGTCAATAAACATGAGTCTTACCCAGAAAAGGAATCTTCTTTGTCCTTGCCCAAGAAATTGCCTGCAGTTTTCCCATTGTTCCTCTGACTCCGAAGCCTCCAGGCACAAGAATACCACTGAAATCAACACAAAATGAGAGTAAACTTGACTATTCATTATTTTTATTTTTTAAAATAGTGTTTTCAGCCATTCATGCAATGCTTGGTGTAATCACTAGTGACTATGCTCAAGCTCTATTTTCAGAATCAATTATGTGACTTCACACCCTGAACTTTTTTTCTGAAATCTTCCCAATGTTATGAAGAAGTTGTAACAATTTCACACAACTGACCTTAACATATATTTTATGATAAGTCTTTGTGGCATCAGAGCATACTAACTGGGAAACAATTCAACTAAGAATGCCACTGGGAAAAGACACAATGAAAATAGGTTAAGGTTCTTTCAACACACTCTTACAAAAATGTTAAGATCTCCTAGGTCATCAGAAAGAGTTAAATTGGAAAAACCAGCCTAAGATTTCAAATACTAATTAAATAGTGGCAAATGAAAATTCCTTGGTTAGAAGACTTTAGAGACCTAGGCAAACGCAACAGAAACAGTTCAACAGAAAACCCAGGAAGATCATTCTAACCTCATGATGCAATGCTGCCCCCAAGAGTTCTGTCAATTAAAAATAAAACCTAAAATCTAAGACATGAGGAAAAGAAAATATAATCAAGAAAGGGCTGCTCTGTCTATAGAGTAGCCATTCTTTATTTCTTTACTTTCCTAATAAACTTGCTTTCACTTTACTCTATGGACCCACTCTGAACTCCTTCTTGAGTGAGATCCAAGAACCCTCTCTTACGGTCTGGATTGAGATCCCTTTCTGGTAACATCTTTCTAGCGACCACAGAATGGGGAGTTAAGAGTCTCTCCTACGACAGAGAGGGTTAAAGTCTCCTTTCAATAAAGCAAAGATGCTTGACTGACCTTGAGTTTAAGGCACAACTTAGGAAGTTTAGAGTCCTTCCTAAGATTAAGGGGGTTAGAGGCCTCTCTCAGTAAAGTCCTTCTCTGCTAAGAATGGGTTTGGCACTATGGGATGTTAACTGCTATTCTCTTTGGGTTAATCTGCCTTGCATTCTTTGCTGATAGTTATGGGTGACAGAAGTAGGCATGTACAGGACCAAAAGGGGTAACTTGAGAGCCGATGAGACTGCTGGAAAAGATCCCTTCACGCCCGACAAGTGGCCGCCTGAACTTCTCAGTGTCGCTGCCTTGGGTACATCTTTCTCTGGCCTCCCTGAGCTCTTTGACTTCCCCACCATGCCTCAGGCGATGCTTTTCTCCCTCTCTCTCCTTTCCCCTTCTTATCTTTTCTATTACTCAGGGTGACCGTCTTGCCAAGAGACAAGTTGAAACTCCTTATTGGAGGTTGGATTCATAATGATAGCGCCCAACCAGGGGCAAGTTTGAGCCTCGCCAGTGTGATATTGGGTGCTAGGCAGAGTGGCTAATGTCTATGTTTTATCACACATATTTTGCTCTGGCCAGAACAGAAAAAGATAATTTTCCTTTGTATTGCGGCTGTGGTATAGCCCGCTGAGTACCTAGGGCTGCTCAAGGAAAGGAAACTCAGAAGCCAAGCATACTGACAAAACAGTAAGAATTTCTTACCAGTCAGACTTCTGGCCCCTGTCTCTCTCTCTCTCTCTCTCTCTCTCTCTCTCTCTCTCTCTCTCTCTCTCTCTCTCTCTCTGCAAATCAATTGAATGAACGGTAAAAAAAAAATCACTGTTTATCTCCTCTGTAAAGTTTTAATTAATGGAAAAAGGATTTGTGAAGCTACTCTTAAGCTATAGTGAATCTGATATGCTGTATGTGTCTTTCTGTATTGTGCTGTCATAATGAGGGGTACCTTAGGATAGAATGTGGGCCTAGGACCCCTGTAGGCTGTTCAAGCCACCCCAGCAAACTGGGCAATTACAAACTCTGCTGCAGGTCCTTGAAGAAAAACTGCATAAGGGTTCCCTCTCATCGTGCTTTATGTCCTTGGGAGCTTGACCTTAAAACCACGTGGCAGTACTTTCTCTTGGTCTTTGCCATCACAATGGCGGCCCGGACTCAGGGTTCAATTCCTAGCTTAGGGGATGAGCCTATCTGATTGATATTTGGGTGCTTACAACTACTGGATCTTCTTCTATCTGTCTATGCATTTATATGTGCTGTGTGTGATGTTAAAAAAAAAAAGAGCTTTAATTGGTTTAAAAACAGAAAGTGCTTAAATTAAATATTTTGTCAGAAAAGTAAAAATTGTAATGCCTTTTAGTTCACATAACTTTAGTAATTTGGCGGTAATAAAAAGAGCTTTAAAGATTATTGGGAAAATAAAGACATTTGGACTAAATTATGCAGTCAGATATTAGGTTTCTTCAATACTTTAAAATCATAAACTGCCTCTTTGACTTTTGAAAATTGTTCAATTTGCCTACTTTGGAACATCAGATTCTAGATAAAGCCTGGGGACATGTTGAAAGCCACACTCTCTACCTATGCTGGAAAAAGACCTCATCTAGTGTTCTAGGCTCCATACCTAATACACAATTAAAATCGTTTACTAACCAGGTTTTCACCAAAAGTAAAAGTTGCTAAGAGTTAACAGTGTAACCTGTAATTGAGACTACTGAAGAAACAGTTTACATGCAATTTGTATAAGGAAAGTGAAATGTGTTTTTAGTAAAAGATTAAAAGAAGGCATGGAAACGTGAATTTTTTTGCATAAATTAAAAGGTTAAAGGATTGTTTTTCGGTTTTTGGTTTTGTTTTCAGACAAAGTTTCACTATTGTTGTCCAGGCTGGAGTGCAATGGCGGGATCTCGGCTCACTGCAACCTCCTCCTCCCAGGTTCAAGTGATTCTCCTGCCTCAGCCTCCAAAGTAGCTGGGATTACAAGCATGCACCACCACACCCGGCTAATTTTGTATTTTTAGTAGAGATGGAGTTTCACCATGTTAGTCAAGCTGGTCTCGAAGTCCTGAACTCTGGTGATCCACGTGCCTCAGCCTCCCAAAGTGCTGGGATTACAGGTGTGAGCCACCATGCCAGGCTAAAGGATTGTTTTAAGGTAAATAGGATAAAGCTGAAAGTTTGAGCATGTTGTAGGTTTGTGAAGGATTAATCTTATAAAAGAAAGTATGCATGTATACATTGGCTGAGGTTAAAGACGTATTCAGGTTTTCTGTAAATTGAACATTGAAACGAAAGCACAGCAGGTTTCTCTTAGAACACTGATCTTCTCTTTAACAAAAATTTGCAAAGGGTCCAGGCATGGTTGTTCATACCTATAATCCCAGCACTTTGGGAGGCTGAGGTGGGCGGATCACTTGAGGTGAAGAGTTTGAGATCAGCCTGGCCAACGTGATGAACCACGTGTCTACTAAAAATACAAAAAGTAGCCAGGTATGGCAGCACACGCCTGTAATCTCAGCTACTCAGGAGGCTGAGGAATGAGAATCACTTGAACCCAGAAGGTAGAGGTTGCAGTGAGCCAAGATCATGACACTGGACTCCAGCCTGGGCAACAGAGCAAGAGACTCTGTCTCAAAAAATAAATAAATAAATAAATAAATAAACAAACTTGTAAAGGATTATAGAAGGCTTGTAAAAGTCTTACCTTTTGGTCAAACTGATCAAAATTAGACAGATTTATCTATAAGATTTTATTAAAAATTGGGTTTGACATCAATTTAATGCACTAATGCAACAGGGAAGTTTGGCTTATTTGGTATAAAAATCATACAAAAAGCACTATGAAATATGAAATGGTGTTTGGCTTTCTTTGGGTTGTATATGTATAAATGTGTTATTGGTATGTGTTCCAAAATTATGAGAAACTTCTGTAATTCTAATATGACTTAGTGTATGTTATTAATAGTTATCATTGTTATATAAAATTGTTGTAAGCCACAGGTATAACAAATTCCTAGTCAATTGTGGCTTTAATAGTGGCTGCCCTAAAACATTTTGTCATCCACAGACAATTGTATTGTTTTGGTTCTCTTTAGAAGGTAGTTAATAATCAACTATAGAACTCTACCAGGTGTTCTTAAATGCAGGTTTCTGATAACTTTAGAAATTGTGACAGAAGATTGGAGGAAAATCTTTCAGGATTCTCATGGAGAGCTGAAATGTATATGACTATCAAGCAGAACAGGAGTTAGCTATGTGGAATGAACTAATAGAAAATTAATCTTTTTGACTTTGCTTCAGATGTTGCTGATCCTTTTTGTTTTATTTTTCAGAGTCAAAAAAATGGTTCTTTTGAGCTATACACAGCTTGTAACAATTGAGTACAGTATACTCCTATGAACAAAATTTGGAAAATATTTGTTTCTGTCTACCTCATTTGTCCAGAATTTGGAAACTATTTGTGAGTACTCTTGACTTATGGCAATATAGTTATTTGCATAAGTGCAATAAGAATCTATTTTCTTTTGCAACAGGACACAATTGGAGAAAGAAACTGGTTATATTACCAAGGCTTTTACTGGAATGGTGTGCTTTCCTTTAAAGAATCAAACAAATTGTAAAGCCAATACGAGCAAGCCTCTTGGGAAAACTGGCCTCATATCTTGTCTACACAGTCCCTGTACAGGGTTTCTGACCTGTGGTAACTAAAGAATGTCACTTTCTGACAGGTCTAGGAGCCTCAAGTTATCTTGGCACCTCAAAAGGAGAGGAATTTACCCAGTTCATAGGTATTTGAGGGTACAAATGTATGGCAGGGCTCGGCTTTAAAAATGGTCTTATCTGAGATTCCTTACAGAATAAAGGGTTCAGGGGCTGCAGTGGCTCCGGCCAGATGTCCTGGCGCTTGAGGAGGCGAGGCCATGAGTTCAAGGCCAACCTGAGCAACGTTACAAGCTCTCATTGATTAACCAGAATAAAGTTCCATCAAAGCCAATTTTAAAAGCCTATGTGAAAAATAATTATCCTTGCTGCACTTTATACAAATAATCAGGCCAAGTAAAATAAAGCAAATTGTTCTTATTACGATTTGTCTTTAGTAAAAATAGGAAACTGGAGAGAGAAAAAATTATGTTTCAAGAACTATGGTATACTTATTATTATAGACTCTAATCTCATTGGTTGTTTTTGAAGTTTTTTTCTGCAATTTAGACTGACCTTGCTTATTCCTGTGAAACAATCAGTGAGTGATCTCTGACTGCAGCTCAGAAAAAAAACAAGAGGGATGGGTAATGTAAAAATTTGGATCAATATTCTAATTCTGGATATGTATTGGAATCAGCTAGCAACTGCATATCAGCTTGGTTCCAACAGTTGCCCAGTTCATGGAAAGCCTTCTAATTTCGTTTACTTGGGATAATTTTCTGCTTTACTGTTGTGGAATATATTGCTGTTGTACTCTTTGTATAGGAATGCAGAATAAGTTTATTCAATGTTTTCTTAAATTAAACATTTATCAACTTTCCAGATATCACCTTTTGTCAGAACTCAGCGTTGTGAATGGCCCTCACCACCTGACACTTTCTGACTCTATCCCATACAAGAAATTCTAATAATTAGGCAGGAATGTCATTGCCCCTATTCAACACGAATAAGTTACAGAAGATGGATCTTCGTCCCTCTGCAATCCTTAGTATTAAAGGTTCTCTTATAAAAGGGAGAGGGGAAATGTTGAACCAGAGCAACTCCATCTTAGATAGGTGCTGAGTAGAATAAGACTGAGACCTACTGGGCTGCATTCCCAGATGGTTAGGCATTCTATGTCACAGGATGAAATAGGACGTCAGCAAAAGATACAGGTCATAAAGACTTTGCTGATAAAACAGGTTGCAGTAAAGAAGACAGCTAAAACCCACCAAAACCAGGATAGCAATGAGAGTGACCGCTGGTCATCCTCACTGTTATACTCCCACCAGCGCCATGACAGTTTACAAATGCCATGGCAACATTAGGAAGTTAACCTATATGGTCTAAAAATGGGGCTGCATGTATAATCCATCCCTTGTTTAGCATATAACCAAGAAATAACCATAAAAGTGGGCAACCAGCAGCCCTCAGGGCCACTCTGCCTATGGAGTAGCCATTCTTTCATTCCTTTACTTTCCTAATAAACTTAACTTTACTTTTTAAAAAGAGAGAGAGAGAGAAAGGCTGTCATTCTTGTACTTTAACTTTGTATATGTGACATTCATCTCTGCATCTTTCAGGAGAATCAACACACTTTCCCTCCAGTACAGTATCCCCATCCTCCCCAAATAAAACCATTTCTACGCACATGCCACCAGCATTAACATGGCACATTTAAAATCAATGCAGTATGAACGTGCCACAACCACCTGCGAAGACCCCAAGTACTCCAAACTACCTTTCAAAATGTATGAAAATTAGCAATTAGGGTAAACGGAATCATTACAAAGAAAGTACAATGGCACCGTCCTAACTGGTGTGCATGGGCCATGGTACTCACTCAGCTTTGCATAGCTTCTGCCAAGCTTCATGGTATCTCACAGGGTCCTCGGCTTCAGTGACCGCCTCCAGATCAATAGAGTCTATGTACTGAAAAACATCCAACAGATTAAAGGAATTTTTAAGAAAAATAAACACTCAAAAATACTAGAGCCATCTAATACTATGACATATTATTCAATAATTACTTATTGTGCAAACATTGTACTGGGCACTGGGGATAGAAAAACACAGTCTCTGTTTTGTGACTCTTATAATCTTGCAGAAAGATTACAAAACCAGATAAACAGGCATCCACACTATACTGTGATAGTGGGTATGACAGACAAAGAAGAGAACAATGCAGAAGTAACTAGGGGTCGACTGTGTGAGGTGGCACATGCCTGTAGCCCCAGCTACTCATGAAACTGAGGCGGGAGGATCCTTTGAGCCTGGGAGGTCCAGGCTGCAATGATCCCCGATCATGACACTGTAGTCCAGCCTGGGTGACAGAGTAAGACCCTGTCTCAAAAAAAAAAAAAAAAGAGCAACTAGGAGGTCACTAGAACTGGACACTGGAGGAAAGACAGGAAGGATGGACATCAAGGAAGAGCTCTGGGGAGGTAACGTTCAAGAAGCCAGCCCAGAGGAGAGCAGAAGCAAGATGAGCAGGTGTGTGATGAGAAGCAGCAGGGAGGGCATGCAGGAGACAGAGGAGGGGAAAAGGGTATGAAATCTCCAGCAGGCCAGGCGCAGTGGCTCACACCTGTAATCCCAGCAGTTTGGGAGGCCCAGGCGGGGGGGATCACCTGAGGTTAGGAGTTTGAGACCAGCCTGACCAACATGGCGAAAGCTCATCTCTATTAAAACTACAAAATTAGATAGGCGTGGTAGCGCATACCTGTAATCTCAGCCACTCAGGAGGCTGAGGCAGGAGAATCGCATGAACCCAGGAGGCGGAGGTTGCAGTGGGCCAAGACCTCGCCACTGCACTCAAGCCTGGGCAACAGAGTGAGACTCTGTCTCAAAAAATGAAAAATAAATTTATTTATTTTTATTTAATAAAAATAAAAAGGGCCCTCCAGCAAAGGAACCGCTTATATAAAACCTCAGAGGAAAAAGAGAGAAAGTGGTGACTGTGAGATCCTCAAAAAAAGCCCCACCCAGCAAGAGGACAGACCTGATGAGTTGAAGGAAGGCAAAGGACAAGGCTGAGAAGCCATGACACGGAGCTTAAACTTGAAGCCACTTGCAATGGGTTGAATGTCTGTGTTCCCGCAAAATTCCTATGTTGAAATCCCAACTCCCAAAGAAATGGTATTATGAGGTGGGGTCTTTGGGAGATGATTTAGGTTAATAGGGCAGAGCACATAAGAATAAGATTAGTGTCCCTATAAAAGAGGCCCCAAAGACCTCCCTCACTCCTTCTACCACATGGGAATATAAGCAGAGGTTGGTCTTCTGCACCCAGAAGAGGGCCCTCACAAGAGCCTGGCAACACGCTGGCACCCTGATCTTGGACTTCCAGCGTCCAGAACTGTGAGAGAGAAATGGCAGTTGTTGCTAATCCACCTGAACAGACTGAGACACCACTGAAAGATCTTAAGTAAAGGGATGGCAGGAACAGAGAGAGATTTTACAAAGATTACTCTGGTAGAGTGTGACAAACGCAGGAAAGACTGGCAGCTGGAAACCAGCCAGGAAGCCACTGTAGCAAACCAGGAGAGTTAGACAGACGCAGCCCTAGACAGACGCAGCCCAAACTTGGAAGATGACAAGGCCACGATTCTAGCAGTACTTAGGAGAAGCTGATGTCAATGAATCATCACATGTACAAATTCCAATATATATAACAATCGCTCTCTGTCTATATCAGTTTAGTATTTCTTCTGTAAAAATGACTATCCTGGCCAAGGGTGGTGGCTCACATCTGTAAACCCAGCACTTTGGGAGGCCAAGGCAGGTGGATTACTTAAGGCCAGGAGTTCAAGACCAGCCTGGCCAACATGGCAAAACCCTGTCTCTACTAAAAATACAAAAATTAGGTGTGGTGGCGGGCACCTGTAATCCCAGCTACTAAGGAGGCTAAGACACAAGAATTGCTTAAACCCAGGAGGTGGAGGTTGCAGTGAGCCAAGACTGCGCCACTGCATTCCACCCTGGGAGACAGAGCAAGACCCTGTCTCCAAAAAAAAAAAACACTATCCAGCCCAGGCACGGCAGCTCACACCTGTAATCCCAGTACTTTGGGAGGCCGAGGCGGGTGGATCATGAGGTCAAGAGATCGAGACCATCCTGGTCAACACGGTGAAACCCCGTCTCTACTTAAAAAATACAAAAATTAGCTGGGTGTGGTGGCACACGCCTATAGTCCTAGCTACTCGGGAGGCTGGGGCAGGAGAATTGCTTGAACCCAGGAGGCAGAGGTTGTAGTGAGCTGAGATTGCACCACTGCACTCCAACCTGGTGCCTGGCGACAGGGTAAGACTGTCTCAAAAAAAAAAAAAAAAAAAACTATCCAAATAAACCTTAAGATACAAATTTTTAAAGGCTTTATAAAATGTATATGTCATGGCAATTTTTCCATTGTCATTTTTTTTATATAACGGGGCGGGCGACTTGGAGGAGTGGAAGGAAGGGGAAGTGAAGTATTCCTTAGCCAAAAATAAAAAGAAATTAGGGGCCAGGCGTGGTGGCTCATACCTGCAATCTTAGCACTTTAGGAGGCTAAGGCGGAAGGAATTGCTTAAGGAGTTCGAGACCAGCCTGGGCAACAGAGCCAGACCCTGTCTCTATAAAAATTTTAAAAAATAATAAAATACAATAAAAATTTTAAAAAGTAATTAGGAAAGAAGGAGGCTAAAAAGAGGAGTGAGAAAAGGCAGCTAGGTCCTAAGCCGGTGTCAAAGTGGAAGTCACGAAGTTTCCTTAACATGTAAATGGACCTTTTTACTCATTATACAAAGCTTTTGCCATTTGAGTCAAGATGATGAGGCTTGCTTAAACCATGATATACCCATATTGAATATTGTTAAATATAAAGGTGAAATAGATACATAAATATACGTATCCAACTGGTAACAAGTGGGATTTCGGGGAACAGAAATCTGCTTTTTGCTTTGTTTATTTTGTTTTGTTTTGGTTTTCGGAGACAGGATCTCAATCTGTCATCCAGGCGGGAGTACAGTGGTGCAATTACAGCTCACTGCAGTATCAAACTCCTGGCTCAAGCGATCTTCCTGCCTCAGCCTCCCAATGAGCTGAGACTGCAGGTGCATGCCACCATACCTGGCTAACTTTTTAAATTTTTTGTAGAGATGAGGTCTCCCATTGTTGCCCAGGGTAGTCTTCAACTCCTGGGCTCAAACAATCCACCTGCCTCAGCCTCCCAAAGGGCTGGGATTACAGGCATGAGCTTCTTCCCCTGGCTTATGCTTTCTTTGTTTAAATGTTTTACTCCAAACATGTACCATTTCCATTCTTATATGGAAGAATATACTCAAGCTACATAAGATAACTACACGTCTGTTATCCCACAATACTGAGTTTTCAAAACAAATAATCACTCCTAGATATCATTCTTCCAAATTAAAAGGGGAATATGGTATTTTAAAAATCTAGATTCTGTTCCAATGCTAACGGGAAAAAAAGTTCTATTATTGTCTTGTTAGGCAATTACAATGTATCTAAAGGAGCATGACAAGTATGCTCATTCATTTGGATATGCAAAGCCTAATTTCAGAAATGTGCCTTAAACCTACATGTAGAAAACAGTTTCCAGTGCAGTGGCTCATGCCAGTAATCCCAGCATTTTGGGAGGCCAAGTATAGCAGATCACCTGAAGTCAGGAGTTCGAGACCAGCCTGGCCAACATGGTGAAACCCCATCTCTATTAAAAATACAAAAATTAGCTGGGCATGGTGATGGGAGCCTGTAATCCCAGATACTCAGGAGGCTGAGGCACAAGAGTTGTTTGAACGGTGAAGACAGAGGTTGCAGTGGGCCAAGATGGTGCCACTGCACTCTAGCCTGGGTGAGAGAGGAAGACTCCCTCTCAAAAAAGAAAAGAGTTTACACTGCAAGCCTGGCTCCTGCCCTTGGAAAGACCTGCTACAAGATCGGGCCTTGGCTAGCTTCTGGAAACTCCGATTTTGGGAGGGTTCCCATCATTCCAAAAACTGATAGAAGAGGCTCACTGTGCTGAAAGTGTCTGTACAAACAACATGGTTTCTGCTAAGCATGCTCTCCTTCTGGGAGGCTCGCATTTTGGGACATGCTAAGCAGAGGGTGCCTATGTACAGCCCCCAATAAAAACCCTGGGCTCCAAGTCTTCATTGAGCTTCCTTAGTAGATGGCAGTTTGCATGCATTATCGCAACTCACTGGACTCCACCAGGGGAGGGCTCTTAGAAGCCTGCGCCTGGTTACCCCCAGACTTCACCCTGCACGATTCTCCCCTGGCTGATTTTGCTTTGCATTCTCTGGCTGTAATAAATCTTAGCTATGAGTATAACTATATGCTGAGTCCTGTGAGTTCTTCTGGTGAATCATAGGTCCTGGAGGTGATCTCAGGGACTCTTTAACAAAACTTGCCTCTCTGGAACATGTGCTATTGGCATGAATTACTGAGAGAGCCAAAAGACCAGGCCAGGACTTACCATCAGATTCAGCTTGTGGTTGATGGCCAGGGCTGAGTGTTCCAGGGCTTTGAACACAGAGGCGTAGCAGTCTCTGAGCTTGGTATATTTGCCAACCAGGGCTATGGAGCATGTTTTCTGTAGCCTTTCATACCTGGGAAGGAAAACATACTCAAAGGTTATATGCACGTAACAGAACATCACAAACAGAACAATGGCAGCTGCTGCTCTTATTCCAAGGCACTTCTGAAAGCTTTAGGAGCAGCTATCGTCCCAGCTACTCAGGAGGCTGAGGCAAGAGAATCACTTAAGCCCAAGAGTTTGAGATCAGGCTGGGCAACATAGTGAGACCCTGTCTCTACAAAAAAATACAAAAATTAACCAGGTATGGTGGTACATGCCTATAGTCCCAGTTATTCAAGAGGCTGAGGTGGGAGGATCACTTGAGCCCAGGAGTTCGAGGCTGCAGTGAGCTGTGATCACACCACTGCCCTCCAGCCTGGGCGACAGAGTGAGACACTGTCTCAAAAAACAAAGACATTCCAGTGTTGACTTATATAAGCAGGTACAGATCAAAATTCAAGCACATCAAAGAAAAAGTTAAACACCTTAAAAGTAAAAATTGAAAATCTATCCCAATGTCATAAACATGAGCTGCTCTTAGTTAATAAGGTGACATTGTACAAGAAAATGCATTCTGCTTGTCAATAGGAAACATTCCAATATTAACTTTGTAAGGTGACACTGTGTAAGAAAATGCATTCAAAGTGTCTACATTTAAAATGGTTACATTCCCAGCTGGCCCACAAGGGTCTGGTTATTCATGGCATGCCTGAAGAATAGTGCTAAGAGAACAATTTAAAACATTACTAGCCATTTAGATCATTTTTATGAGAAAAATTCCATTCTACAGAAGACACTCAATCACATTTTACCATTAGAGACACAATCTTTAGTGTTGCTTTTGTCAGGAAATCTGTTCAAAGAACATGAAAAATATCTGGTCTGGTGTTAGGTACATGGAATGTCATCTTGGAGCTGAAGATGTTTTAGGGCTTTGAAGCAAACCCTTCCCAAACACCTTAGAAAAATGTTACCATGATGACAAATATCCACCTTCAATATTAACATCTGCAAAGAGTGGCCAGGCACAGTGGCTCAGGTCTGTAATCCCAGCACTTTGGGAGGGTGAGGCAGGTGGATCACCTGAGGTCAGGAGTTAGAGACCAGCCTGGCCAACATGGTGAAACCTCCTCTCTACTAAAAATACAAAAATTAGCCAGGCATGGTGGTGTACACCTGTAGTCCCACCTACTCGGGAGGCTGAGGCAGGAGAATTGCTTAAACCTGGGAGGTGGAGGTTGCAGGGTGCTGACATCACGCCACTGCCCTACATCCTGGGACACAGAGCGAGACTGTATTCAGAAAACACATACACACAGACACATCTGCAGAGTGTACGAAAGAAACTTGACAAAGAGGCTATGTGTGGGAAAAATGCACAAGAAGCTAAGAAGTCAAAACTGACAGGGAAGATAACTTTCTAGAAAGGTGACTAAAACAGCTGAGACAAGACTTCTAACACTTGAACTCGCTACTTTATTTTATGTTGCTCTCTGGAGGTTCCATAGCTGTCTGTACCTGACACCACATCTCCATAAAGTATGTAGGTAACAGGCCGGGCGCAATGGCTCACTCCTGTAATCCCAACACTTTGGGAGGCCAAGGCAGGCAGATCACTTGAGATCAGGAGTTCAAGAGCAGCCTAGCCAACATGGTGAAACCCCGTCTCTACTAAAAATACAAAAATTAGCCTGGCATGGTGGCGCATGCCTGTAGTCCCAGCTATTCAGGAGACTGAGGAAGGAGAAGCACTTAAACCCAGGAAGCAGAGGTTGCTGTGAGCCAAGATGGCACCACTGCACTCCAGCCTGAGCGACAGAGCCAGACTCCGTCTCAAAAAAAAAAAGGATGCCGGTAGGCCAAGCACAGTGGCTCACACCTGTAATCCCAGCACTTTGGGAGGCTGAGGCGGGTGGATCACGAGGTCAGGAGTTCAAGACCAGCCTGGCCAACATGGTAAAACCCCATCTCTATGAGCTGGGCGTTGTGGTGCCCACCTGTAATCCCAGCTACTCGGGAGGCAGAGGCTGGAGAATCACTTGAACCCAGGTGGCAGAGGTTGCAGTGAGCCAAGATCACACCACTGCATTCCAGCCTGGATGATGGAGTAAGACTTAGTCTCAAAAAATAAAATAAAATAAAACAAAAAAGGATGCAGGTAACAGAAAGCAGGATGACAGTACACCAAGTGGCAGAGATGATGTCAGAGGCAGGCACAGCCGCATTGGAGCACAGCGGGTTGGGCCTCACCCCCTTCCCTTCCTCCATAGACAGAAGGGACAACATCAGCTCTGGCCCCGGAAGGAAGCAGCACTGGAGTCAGTATCACAGCTTCCTCTTTCCACTCATTCACGGCTGGTCTTCTCACGGGAGGAGTCACTGGGCAGCAGGTGGGACAGGTGAGTCCACTGAGTCACGCCTACCAGGGAGCTCTCGTTTCCCCTTGGACCTGTACTTCCGAGAGCAACCAAGTGTCTCCCTCATGCACCCCACTCAGCTAGCCATCAGCCATCACCGAATGTGAGGTAAGCATCTGATACTACTACAAGCTGCTGCGGGGCGGGGGGGGGGGGAGTCCTCTTTGCAGGGCCACCCCCAACAGGCAGTTCTCAAGAGAGATGAAGAGGAGGAAGTGGAGAAGTGTGCCCACCTTGACTTCGGGTCCCAAGCAAGCTATCCCCTGTTTAATCAGGGACCCCTGGCCTCTGAGCAGCACTGGGCTTCCATGATAGAGGCTGTTCCTTTGGCTCTTTTGCCTTCTTGCACCTCTCTACAGGCTGTACTGAGAGGACTGAAGCTAAAGAATGCACACTCCACACCAGTTAACAACGTTACCACCAACGTGACGCAGAGGGACCCATGAACAATGACAGTATCTCCTTTGCTGGAAGACTGTCAACAATTTATTGGTCATTCTTAAATAAATAAAAGAGTATACTTGGATTGTTTATATTGTAAAGAAAGGATAAAGGCTTGAGGTGATGGATATCCCATTTACCCTGATGTGATTATTACAGGTTATACACCCGTACCAAGTATCTCATGTACTCCATAAATATATACACCTACTATGTACCCACAAAAATGAAAAATTAAAAAGACTGTAGTGAGTTGAACGGTGGCTCCCCCAAAGAAAGTTGTCCACAAAAACCTGTGAATGTGACCTCGTTTGGGAAAAGGGTCTTTGCAGACATAAGTGAGGCTCTTCAGATGAAATCACCCTGGATTAAGGCCTGTCTTACATCCAATGACAAGCATCCTTACAAAAGAAGAGAAGGGAAGAAGACACAAGTGAGAAGGTGATGTGAAGATGCAGGCCAAGGCTGGGCATGCTGGCTCATGCCTTTAATCCCAACACTTTAGGAGGCTGAAGCAGGTGGATTGCTTGAGCTCAGGAGTTTGAGACCAGGCTGGGCAACATGGTGAAACCATGTCTGTACAAAAAATACAAAAGTTAGCCAAGCATGGTGGCGTGCACCTGTAGTCCCAGCTACCTAGGAGGCTGAGGCAGGAGGATCACTTGAGCCCAGGAGTTCGAGGTCACACTGAGCCCTGGTTGTGCCACTGCACTCCAGCCTGGATGACAGAGTGAGACCCTGTCTCAAAAAAAAAAAAAAAGAAAATAAAAGATGGAGGCCACAATTGGAGTGACATGGCCACAAGTCAAGGAACACCGCTGATTGCTGGCAGCCACCAAAACCCAGGAGAAATGGTAGGGCAGAGATTCTCCTTCAGAGCCTCCAGAAAGAACCTACCCTGTGGATGTGTTGATTTTGCACTTCTGACCTCAAGGACTGTGAGAGAATAAATTTCTGTTGTGTTTTTTTAAGCTACCCAGTTTGTGGCCATTGTTATGGCAGCCCCCAGGAAACTAATACAAAGACCAAACATTTGGCTTTAAAAATCACAGAAGTGGGGCCAGCCGCGGTGGCTCACACCTGTAATCCCAGCACTTTGGGAGGCCGAGGCGGGTGGATCACAAGGTCAAGAGATCAAGACCATCCTGGTCAACATGGTGAAATCCCGTCTCTACTAAAAATACAAAAATTAGCTGGGCATGGTAGTGCATGCCTGTAATCCCAGCTACTTGGGAGGCTGAGGCAGGAGAATCGCTTGAACCTGGGAGGCGGAGGTTGCATTGAGCCAGGATCATGCCACTGCACTCCAGCCTGGCAACAGAGTAAGACTCTGTCTCAAAAAAAGAAAAAAAAATTGCAGAAGTGGCCAGGCACATGGCTTATGCCTGTAATCCCAATACTTTGAGAGGCCGAGGCAGGAATATCTCTTGAACAAGATGGCAAAACCCCATGTCTACAAAAAATACAAAAATCAGTTGGGCGTGGTAGAGCACGCCTGTGGTCCCAGCTACTGAGGATCGCTTGAGCCCAGGAGGTCGAGGCTGCAGTGAGCTGAGATTGTACCACTGCACTCCAGCCTGGGCAACAAGCAAGACCCTGTGCCAAAAAAAAAAGAGAAAGATAGGAAAAGAAAAAACGCATAGCCACGTAGAGTATAACTTAAAGCTATTTCCAATAAAATAGTTAAAATATTAAAACTTCTAGTGCTTAAAGTGTATCAGTCCCAACTACTTAGGAAATTTTTGTGAAATGACTGGCACTTTAAGGACTCTAGAGAACAGGGGTTTTAGAGAATCTAAGCTCGGAAACTGCTCTTTTTTCCCGATTCCACTTGCCCCAGAAAGTCTCAAGCATTTTTTTTAATTGTAAATGAAAGGGCAAGAGAACCTCAATCTGATTAGTCATCTACCAGGGGCAGTGATTTTGTTACCATCAAATCATTTTAATTATGGTTACCAACAACAGCAATCAATATTTATTATAGCACCTGACTCGATGGTAAGTCCTTACAGGGTTTTCTCATAATTGCCACTAGGTAGGCACTGGTATCCCCTCGCTATATATAGATGGGAGAACAAGCGAGAAAAGTTAATTACCCAAACTCACACGACTGGTAGGAGGAACCAGGCTCTCAATCTGGAACCTACAAATGTAACAGCTGCACCTACTGGCTCTGACCTAAGCTGCCCAAATAGTCCCATCTCAACTACATTTAGCAAAAGAAAGCAGGACCGGGTACGGTGGCTCACACCTGTAATCCCAGCACTTTGGGAGGCTTAGGTGGGCAGATCACTTGAGGTCAGAAGTTTGAGACCAGCCTGGCCAACATGGTAAAACCCCATGTCTACTAAAAATACAAAAAAATTAGCTGGACGTGGTAGGGGGCGCTTGTAATCCCAGCTACTCAGGAGGCTAAGGCAGAAGAATCACTTGAACCTGGGAAGCAGAGGTTGTAGTGAGCCAAGATCATTCCACTGCACTCCAGCCTGGGCAACAGAGTGAGACTCTCGAAATAGAAAAAAGAAGAAAAAATTTTAAATACTCAGAAACTAAAAAATGAACTAGTAAATCAAAATCCTTCCAGAATTCAAATTCCTTTAATTCGCTTTGGTCTATGTATAACAACAAAATTGAAGGCTCCAGAAATCTTCAAATAATACAGCAAAGCACCATAACAGTGAGCTCCACCTTTAGACATATCCAGACCAAAATGTGCACACATACAGAATGCCAAATATGACACACCCTTTCAAGTAGGTCTTAGTTCTACTCCTAAACTCAAGAATTATTAAAGATTATACAAGTAATTCCTTTTGCTTACCTCTCAGCCATATTTCTCCACTTGAAGAGCAAATTACTTGAAGAATCACGAATGGGCAGGCGCAATCTCTCCTTAAAATGTTTCACAATGCCTTGTTCCTCCAAAAGCACAGGAACTCGGTATGTGGAAGAAACATCATGGATACATATGACCTAAGTGATGATGAGAAATCACCATACTTAGTCAAATCGACTCAAATATGCCACAAGAATGAGAGAAAATTCAGGAGAGACTGGCGGTTTATTTATACTGATAACACACACACCACACACACACACACACACACACACACACACACACACACGAAAAACCAGCAACCAAAACTAGCATCAGAATTTGCACAAGGTTAGCTTTATTTAGTTAGAAAACTCTAATCCCAGAACTTTGGGAGTCCGAAATGGGCAGACCACCTGAAGTCAGTTCGAGACCAGCCTGATCAGCATGGCGAAACACCATGCCTACTAAAAATACAAAAATTAGCCGGGCGTGGTGACATGCATCTATAATCCCAGCAACTCAGGAGGCTGAGGCAGGAGGATCGCTTGAACCTGGGAGGCAAAGGTTGCAGTGAGCCAACATTGTACCATTGCACTCCAGCCCTGGCAACAAGAGCAAAACTCCATCTCAAAAAAAAAAAAAAAAAAGAAGAAGTGTACACAAAACAATTGGACAGATCAGATGTGGTGGCTCATGCCTGTAATCCCAGCACTTTGGGAAACCAAGGCAGGTGGATCACCTGAGTTCAGGAGTTCGAGACCAGCCTGGTCAACATGGTGAAACCCCATCTCTACTAAAAATACACAAAGTAACTGGGTGTGGAGGCGCACATCTGTAATCCCAGCTACTCAGGAAGCTGAGGCAGTAGAATTGCTTGAACCCAGAAGGAACAGGTTGCACTGAGCCAAGAGTGTGCCACTGCACTCCAGTCTGGGTGACAGTAGCGAAACTCTCTCACAAAAGAAAAAAAAAGATTGGATGCAAACAAAATGGCATGATGCATACAAACGCAGAAGCGTCCATTCAGTCTGCCATCACATTTTTCAAAGTAGCTCAGACTTCTGTGGTGACTGTGAGGCATCAGGTAGGGGGCTCTTCATCAGACAGCTTGCCAAGATGCCAAAATTCAATTTGATCATTTTTAGAGTTCAGAAAACCCAGAGTTATAATCTGAAGGAAAGCTTTCTGCCAAACCTCACCCTTTTCCTAAGCACCATTAATATCATTCTCTTTAAACTATAGGTAACTCCAATCCCTTATACCCAAGCCTTACTGGAATAAGAGAAGGAAAGAAAAAAGAAAAGCAAATTATCCGAATACGGAGGTGGAAAGTCCTGCAGAGCAGAGGACCTAAGCGCAAATCACAGTGCGATTTCTGTGCCAATGAAGTGAACTCAGTCCACTGATGTAGTCAGAAGAGCTAGTGCGAATGGTCCACGTGCTCGTGTGTTTGGGGTGACTTAGGTAGAAAAAAGAAGTGAGTGAAAGCAGTAAGTGCCTGCCAGACAATAAAATCTAAAGAGCAGCACCAACCTGTTCAGGGTTCACGTGACAAAACATAGAAATCTTCTCCTTCACGGCCATCTCAATGGGTGTTGAACTTCGGCAGACAATCTGTCAAAGCCAGTTATGCGCTCATCAGCAAACAGGATTCATTTTCCCCACATTCATTTCTTTTTACTACAAGAGACTTGACCAAGTATGGACTTGTTCACTTTGGGAATTCCACTGCACTATTCGAAACTGGTCTGAGCACTAATATAAGTATAGTCAAATTCAGCACAAATTTATCAGTAAGAACTCGAGGGCCGGGCACGGTGGCTCAAGCCTGTAATCCCAGCACTTTGGGAGGCCGAGGCGGGTGGATCACGAGGTCAAGAGATTGAGACCATCCTGGTCAACATGGTAAAACCCCCGTCTCTACTAAAAATACAAAAAAATTAGCTGGGCATGGTGGCACGTGCCTGTAATCCCTGCTACTTAGGAGGCTGAGGCAGGAGAATTGCCTCAACCCAGGAGGCGGAGGTTGCCGTGAGCCAAGATCATGCCATTGCACTCCAGCCCGGGCAACGAGAGCGAAACTCCGTCTCAAAAAAAAAAAGAACTCGAAACATCAAGACGTCTCTGATGAAGAGTCCAGGCTCACAAGTGTTGCTTCATTAACTACAAGAAAAGTGCTACATTGAGGTTGCAAACATTTTATCAAAACGGCCAGATGGGAAATATGTCAGGTTTGCAGGTCACACAGTCACTGTCCTGATCCTCAATCCTGGTGCAGTGTGAAAGCAGCTACAGATAATATGTAAACGAATGGGTGTGACTGCGAGCCAATAGAACTTCATTTACAAAAACAGGCACCCAAGCTGTGGGCCGTTGTCTGCACAGCTCTGACAGAGATGACTGGTGATGTCTGGATCACCTGCTATAAGGCCACATCACTGTTTAGACTAAAAATAAGAGAAGTGGGCTGGGCATGGTGTAATTACAGCATTTCAGGAAGCCAAGGCAGGAGGATTGGTAGAGCCCAAGAGTTTGAGACCAGCCTGAGTAAAACAGCGAAATCCTGTCTCTAAAAAAAACACATCGGCTGGTCCGAAGGTAGTGAGTTATCTCAACTGATTTTTCAGTCAGTTACAGATCAAACTCCTTGTTCTACTCTTTCCCCACTTCTCACTACTGCACTTGACTAGTCTTTAAAACACACAAACACACACACACACACACACACACACACACACACACAGACACACACACACACCAAAATTAGCCAAGTGTGGTGGCGGGCACCTCTAGTATCTACTACTCAAGAGGCTGAGGTGGGAGAATCACTTGAGCCCAGGAGGCAGAAGTTGCAGTGAGCCGAGATCACGTCACTGCACCCCAGCCTGGGTGACAGAGCCAGACCCCGTCTCAAAAAAAAAAAAAAGAACAGTGATAACCCATCCTAGCAGAGTCACAGGAAAATCCTCAAGGTCTCACCTTCATTCTAAAGAATCCAGGAATTGTATAAATGACAGGACATCACACTTGCCCAGCTATCAGTGTAGCCCATCAAATAAGGGCCTATAGAAGAACACTTGAAGCAACACTTGAAGCTAAGGGAATAAGGCTTTCTCGGCTCCCAGATAGAAAAACTCATTGTCATAGGAGCCATTTGAGAACAACAAAGGACTTAGATGATGATAAACATAAAGTGAAGGGCAGCCAGGAGCTGTGGCTCTCACTTGTAATTCCAGCACTTTGGAGGCCAAGGCAGGTGGATCACCTGAGGTCAGGAGTTCAAGACCAGCCTGGCCAACATGGCAAAACTCCATTTCTACTAAAAATACCAAAATTAGCCAGGCGTGATGGCAGGCGCCTGTAATCCCAGATACTCTGGAGGCTGAGGCAGGAGAATCGCTTGAACCTGGGAGGCGGAGGTTGCAATGAGCCAAGACTGAACCACTGCACTCCAGCCTGGGTGGCAGAGCAAGACTCCATGTCAAAAAAAAAAAAAAAAAAAGTGAAGGGCCTGCTCCCAAAGACCTTCGGGATAGACTTACCCACTGTCCTCAACTCACCAGATCTGGAGACAGGCCTAACCCCCTCAGCGCGCGAACACTGTTTTGGGTGGGTTTGGTTTTTTGTTCTCCGGTAGCTTCGAGCTGAAAAGAAATGGGGTCCCATCAGCACACTGCACACCAGTTCCTATAGATGATTAATGGTGCCCCACTTTCACATGTGGGACACATAGAATATCACAGGAAAACTTATCAGAGTTGCTGTCCACATACTTATCTGGAAAGCTCACCTGTGGGACAAGGCTAACATGGATATTACAGAAATTCTCTCTTTTCGCCTTAAACTGGAATTGTCTAAATGCTTCCACAAACGGCATTCCTTCGATATCTCCAATGGTGCCTCCCAGCTGGGAATGAAAAACCAAGAAAAAAAGACAGAAATGACAACACATCTTCCACGATACACAAGCTAATAAAAAGAGTCCTTAATAAACCGAGCATAAGAACTAAAGTTAGATGGTTACACAGAGGTTGTGAGTATGTTCAAAACCACTAAATTGTGGCTGGGCGTGGCAGCTTGTGATCCCAGTGCATTAGGAGGCCAAGGCAGGAGGATCACTTGAGCCCAGGAGGTCCAGGCTGCAGCGAATCATGCTCCTGCCACTGCACTCCAGCCTATGTGACAGAAGGAGATTCTGTCTCTGAAAAAATATTAAAATAAAAAATAAAACTTTATTAAAGATTTCTCCACATGTATACTCTTCAGTAGCCCTCTGCTTCATTGAAACTAGCATTGAGGCCAGGCACAGTGGCTCACACCTGTAATCCTAGCACCTTGGGAGGCTGAGGCTGGCAGATCACAAGGTCAGGAGATCAAGACTATCCTGGCTAACGTGGTGAAAACCTGTCTCTACTAAGAATACAAAAATTAGCTGGGTGTGGTGGCATGCATCTGTACTCCCAGCTCACAGGGAGGCTGAGGCAGGAGAATCGCTTGAACCCAGGAGGTAGAGGCTGCAGTGAGCTGAGATCGCGCCACTGAACTCCAGCCTTGGTGGCAGAGGGAGACTGTCTCAAAAAAAAAGGCTCTCAGGACCTGGCCCTTGCACTACTGAGTCTACAAGTGCCATCTGGTCCCCTCCCCACTGGCCTCTTGGACACTCCATGCTCTTACTTCCTGCCCCTCAAGGCCTCCTACCCTCCTTCTTTATCTACAGCAACCTCTCTTTATCTTCCACTCCAGGAGAAATGCATCCTCCTCGGAGGGCAGACTCTGACCCCCCACCTAAAGCAGCCTACATCCCACCAACCCTTGTCACAGCATTGTACCCATCCTAGAAACTCGGCACATGTTGCTTCTGTTTCATTTCTGTCTGTTTCCTGCCTCTCTACCCCACTAGACTGTAAGCCCCTTGAGGGCATGAGCCCAGTACCCCGAATGCAGCACTGGGGGTTAGTTTAGTAGTTGGGACAGGACAGAAAGGTCCTGAAATTCAATATAAGCCCTAAGTAACAGTGTTCTAATACCTGTTGCCAAAATTACAACAGAACCAAAGCCAGGGCTGGGGGCAGTGGCTCACGCCTGTAATCCCAACACTTTGGGAGACAGGAGTATCACTTGAGCCCAGGAGTTCGAGACCTGCCTGGGCAACAAAGTGAGAACTTGCCTTCACAAAAGGATTTTAAAAATTAGCTGGGCATGGTGGCATGGTGCCTATGGTCCCAGCCACTCAGGAGGCTGAGGTGGGAGGATTGCTTGAGCCTGGAGAGGTCCAGGCTGCAGTAAGTCATGATCATGCTGCTGCACGCCAGCCTAGGGTACAGAGCAAGACACTGTCTCTTTAAAAAAAAAAACTCTTCGAAGCAGCAAAAACATCACATGATGTAATCAGGAACTTAGGGGAGAGGGTGGAGAAGTGAGTGTAAGTACCCACTAACTACAGGGCACCAAAATCTATTTTTTGAAAATTATTTATTTTCTCTAAGAAAAAAAAAAAAGAGGTCTGCACTTAAACTAAACCGTATGCATACATCCTCTGTATGCTGATGGAGGTCCTCTGGGAGTCGTAACAGTGAATTCGAAACGGAGGCCAACTTTAAACATTATCCGCTTCTGCCCTCTCGTGGTCAATAGTGGTACTACATTCTCCGCGCTAATTCAGAAATTCCCGTTATCATACTTCTAGGTCACCATCATCATGGTGTTCAGAAACCGTCAATATTACTACTGGAATAGTTTGAAGTTAACTGTTGCCCCAAATAAAAGGGAAAATATCACCCATAACAATACTTTATGCTGAAATGGAAGCAGCAGCAAATGTATGAGATGTGCGAAGTTGTTTTTGCCTTTGTCTTTAATGAAAGGAGTCTTTTTTTCTTTTCCTTTTTTTATTTTTTTTAGAGACAGAGTCTCACTCTGCCACCCAGGCTGGAGTGCAGTAGTGAGATCATGGCTCACTGCAGCCGCAAACTCCTGTAAGTGATCCTCCCGCCTCAGCCTCCCAAGTAGCTGGGACTACAAACCATCACACCTGGCTGTGTCTTCTTTTTTGGAAAATAAACAAGAAGAAAGAAAGAAACCTGTTATTCCTTTAAGACAAGCATAAATTATTTCAGGATCATGCCAAGATAACCCACGCTATTATAAATAAAAACTCTCAGCTCCACTGATCTGAAGACATTCCAACAGCTCCTCTATGCTTAAAACTAAAAATCAAGTTTGGCAGTCCTTCAAAGGCTTAAATGGTGCACAGACACAACTGCTGAACACAACTTCCAATGAACCAAAGAGGATGGTTGCCCACTAGCATCCAAAAAGCAAATATAAACATCAGGGTTATAATGGAGAAGGGGTTCTGTTTGTCAGTTTCTCTGTTTCCATGAAATTTAAAATCCAGCCAATGAGCTCCTGAAGAGCAGGAGTCACATCACGCTCAAACTCACATCCCCAGCAGCTGTCATCAGGGCTAGTACCTATTAAGCGCTAAATTAATCATTGTGAAGGCGAACAAGTCAATTCAAGGGTAGAATAAGGAATAAAATTAATAATTTGACAGGCATGGTGGTGGTACACCTGTAGTCCCAGCTACTTGGGAGGCTGAGGCAAGAGGATTGGTTGAGCCCAGAAATTCGAGGCTACCGTGAGCTTTGACCACACCTGTGAACAGCCACTGCACTCCCGAGGCAACACAGCGAGATCTTATCTCTAAAAAATAAATAACCAGTAACTTTAACAGCTCTACTGTTAACAAAATGGGTCCTCTACATAGTATGATATCTGCTGACACAATGATGACAATAATAATAGCTAATTTACATTTACTGAGCACTTCCTAAATGCCAGACATTGCAAAGTGCTCCTTATTGTTGCATTTAATCCCTGAACAATCCTGTTATTATCTTATTATTACAATATTATATTATCACCACGTTATTACAAATGAAGACACTGAAATCGTGAGAATTTTCTAAAAGTCATACAGGCATCTTAATACTAGCTAGTAATTTTTAAGCACTCACTAGATCTGTGACACCATCCTAAGCAATAAGGGTAGAGACCTATTTAATCCTGAAAACAATGAGTTAAACAGGCACTGAGAAGTTAGGAAACTTGCCCAAGGTCACCCCTGCTCCCACCAGCCCCCTCCCGCCCCCTGTAAGTGACCTTGCTAAGCTACAAACCCAGACAGTTTGTTTGCCTTCAGACTCTTAATTACTGAGGTATACACGATTCAGGGGTCCCTGCAGAAATACGAACCAAGGCAGACTGACCAAGAATCAAACTGTTCGTTATTCTGCTCTTTCGTGGGGCAATTAAGCCAACTGACATTTAGAGGAGAAGGATATGGATTAACATTCTCATTCTGCACATGGAGAGGAAGGGAACAAGGTGAAGGAAGCGAACAAGTGGCAAGTTCAAATACTACCTTTTTTAAAAAAATTCAGACAGGGTCTGGCTCCATCACCCAGGCTGGAGGGCTGGTGCAATCATGGCTCTCTGCAGCCTCAACCATCCAAACTGAGAAGATTCTCCCGCCTCAGCTTCTCAAGCAGCTGGGACTACTGGTGCATACCACCATGCCTAGCTAATTTTTGTAGTTTTTGTAGAGGCGGGGTTTCACCATGTTGCCCAGGCTGTCTCAAACTCCTGGGCTCAAGCAATCCTCCCACCAAAGCATCCAAAACTGCTGAGATTACAGGCATGAGCCACCTCACCCAGCCACTAAGTTTCTTTCTTTAAACAGCTGATACTAATCATTTATCACCTCTACCATCTGACTTCGCGAACCCAGTGTCTCTTTATTTCCAAAGCACTTCGGAAATTCTTTTCAAACAGCATGTACTAGGGTATGGTTTGCTGTGTGTGGACAGAATTGTGAGCAAGCTCCCCCAGGGCAGAGACTGTGTCCAACCCAGGTCCCGGCACAGAGGAGGCCCTCACACTGGCTTTATCAGCAGCTGATCAGTCTCCACCAGCAATTCACTGCACGTCCACCCAGGAGTATTATGATTATCTGTTTAGTGCCAATCTTGCCCACTGACTTGTGACCACAAAGACAGAAGCCATCTATGTTATTCCTTGCTGTGACCCCACCTCCTGGCCCAGTGTCCGGCACTCAGGAGGGCGTGTGTAAGTATTTGTTAAATGAATGAAGATCAGATGCTCAAAGACCCAGCAGGATGTAATTTTATAAAGAAAGTTATATGCTTGCCTCAATAACGCATATTTGGGGCTCCTTATTACCATCCACTGGCACCTTGGCTTGATTCATAACCCACTCCTGGACAGCATCAGTAATGTGAGGGACAACTGTAGAAAGAAGAATTAACACAAAAGTTTATTCCATGCTCATGAGAAAGTAACGTACTGTAGACCTCCCCAATCACCTGAAAGTCACCTGGCAAGTTACCCAAGCTACAGTCCTAGTTTTTTTTCTTTCCACATTGCAATGCACATGTGGTGATGTGATTTCGGCTAAGTCATTTACACGTTAGGCCATTTGTCTTGAAATCAACCAATCACAGACTACAAGAAATAGCCAGCATGGTGGCTCACGCCTGTAATCCCAGCACTTTGGGAGGCCGAGGTGGGTGGATCACGAGGTCAGGAGATAGAGACCATCCTGGCCAACATGGTGAAACCTGGTCTCTACTAAAAATACAAAAATTAGCCAGGCATGGTGGCACATGCCTGTAATCCCAGCTACTTGGGAGGCTGAGGCAGGAGAATCGCTTGAACCCAGGAAGCAGAAGTTGCAGTGAACGGAGATCGCACCACTGCACTCCAGCCTGGGCGACAGAGCGAGACCCTGTCTCAAAAAAAAAAAAGACAAAACAAAAGGCTGCACTCCACTTAGGTAAAGATAATACATGTTTCTCCATGGCTTTTCTAAACAAAAGCGGAGAGAGAAACAGAGAGAAAGAGAGAGAGAAAAGAGCTACATAGACGAAGGAGAACAATGAATGACAATACATAAAAAAGAGGCTGGTCTGATGGCAGTGGGTTATCAGAACCTTTTAACATTAGTGCCACTAATGGAGGGTTGGTCTACAACAGCCCTCCACTGCTAAATTTGACTACCTTTAAAAATAAATTTAAAAAAGAAAAAGAGTGATGAAAATATAATCAGGAACGTGGAGGGTGAACTTGATACTTTTTTGGAAAATGAAAATACAACAATTTTAAAAGGATTAGAACTTGTAAAGCGCAGGAACTGTGACATTTTCAGTTCTACTTTTTTTTTTTTTTTTTTTTTTGAGACAGAGTCTCGCTCTGTTGCCCAGGCTGGAGTGTAGTGGTGCAATCTCGGCTCACTGCAACCTCCGCCTCCTGGGTTCGAGCAATTCTCCTGCTTCAGCCTCCTGAGTAGCTGGGATTACAGGCAAGTGCCAACATGCCCGGCTAATTTTTGTATTTTTAGTAGAGACAGGGTTTCACCATGTTGGCTAGGCTGGTCTCGAACTCCTGACCTCAGGCAATCCACCAGCCTCGGCCTCCTAAAGTGTTGGTATTACAGGTATGAGCCACCGCACCAGCCTTCAGTTCTACTTTTGAGAAGCACAAGGATGTTCAGTACACAGGGCTCCAACAAGTCTATGGAATGTAATACCTTGCACTGTTTTCCCCAGGTAATCACCATGCCTCTCTTTGTTGATAACATGGTGATATATCTTCCCCGTGGTGATGTTGTTGTCTTTATAAAGACTAATATCCAAAAATCTTTCATAATTTCCAAGGTCCAAATCAACTTCTCCACCATCATTTAAGACAAAGACTTCACCTAGGATTAAAAAGGCAATGGAAAAATCAAAACTTTGCTTCCGGTAGATTTTTCAAAGATGAACATATTTTTCATCTGCTAAATAAAAAGAGCTGCTAAAGAGCTGCTAAAAGATGTATTTCTAAGCCATATTCTATCACCATCTCCTTGTTGGTGGAGAAATTAACAATTCAATTCTATCCCAGAAAATGCATCCGAAAATTCTATTCACAGTATTCTATTGTGTTCTTTTTTAATCTACTGAAACTCTGTCTTCAAAATTTAGCTTTTCCAAACTCAACATACGCCACATGAAAAAAAGACTTGAAAACAGCAATTTTAAAAAGAAACAGCATTTTACTTCAAAGCATCAGTATCCTTGGCTCTGGAATTGCAATAAGAAACTTTTACCTTGATTCTCATCTTGGTTAAAGCCACAATTAGACAGTAAATGACAAAGCAAGGCCACAGCTAACCCACAAAGCAACTTGGTGAAAGTGAGAAAAAAGGCCTGTGTGTGCCATTTGCTACCTGCACAACGCACTGTCATAAAAGACAGGTGCAGACTTCATCATACGAGGAACACCCACTTTAACGAAACCCGTCTGTAGATCTCTATTGTCACTTCTGGGTGTTGACTGGGAGTCATATGTTTCTAAAGCCAGCTTTAAGAATTGAACCCCTCCCCATTAACGAAACTATCATTTATTCCTACTGTTAGATGTACACAGGAAAAAGGACGGTTGACTAACTTACAAACTTATTCAGAAACCTTTTATATCCTCATTTACTTATCCATTCTAAGGTACATAACTGTGCTCTAGAAGATTAATTTTAAGGGAAAAAGTAAATTGATATCACAATACTTTTTTTTATTTTTTTCAATTTTCGTTTTCAATTTTTTTAGACAGAGTCTCACTGTCACCTAGGCTGGAGTGCAGTGGCACAATCTCAGCTTACTGCAACCTCCATCTCCTGGATCCAAGCAATTCTCATCTCTTCCCAAGTAGCTGGGATTACAGACATGTACCACCATGCCCAGCTAATCTTTGTATTTTTTTTAGTAGAGACAGGGTTTCACCATGTTTGCTAGGCTGGTCTCGAACTCCTGACCTCAAGTAATCCAGCCCCCCCACCCCCGACCTCCAACCTCCCAAAGTGCCTGGATTACAGGCATGAGCCACTGCACCTGGTCACAGTACTTTTTTATTTCCCAAATTCCATTTACAGTTCAAATTCCATTTTCTCATGTAATCAAGAATCACCAATCTATGGAAAAGTTTTCCTTTGATCATCTTAACTTCTCACACACTTTTCTTGGGCGAGGTTGGGGGAAAATCTCTGAAATTTCTTCAGTTAATTCAGGCCAAATCCAGTTTGGCAATACTCAGAGTATAGGGCAAAGATCTCAGTTTTAATTACCAAATTTTAAAAGTACGCACACGTGAGGCCAAGCACAGTGGCTCACACCTATAATTCCAGCACTTTGGGAGGCAGAGGCAGGCAGATCGCTTGGACTCACAAGTCTGAGACCAGCCTGGGCAACATGACAAAACGCCATCTCTACAAAAAATACAAAAATCAGCCAGGTGTGGTGGCGCACACCTGTAATCCCAGCTACTCCAGAGGCTGAGGTTGGAGGATTGCTGGAGCCTGGGAGATTACAGTGCACCAAGATTTAACCACTGCACTCTAGGGTGGGGAACAGAGTGAGACTCTGTCTCAAAAAAGAAAGAAAAAGAAAAGTATGCATACATTATGTTCCTAGAAGAGAAAGATAAATTATAGATAGGACTTCGAAACCAGTTGATTAGATATAATGTCATTGTCATAAAAATCCCAACAGATTTTTTTTAACTTGACAGTAACATTAAAGTTTAATTGGAAGAAAAACAGGTGAGATTTACAAGACAAGAAATAATCCCTATAAAGAATAATAGTGAGTAGAATATTAAAATAGATATGCAAACACGTAATAACATAAACAAATGCACAAAACCGAAATACTCAAAAGCTTTCTGTTACATAAAGGAATTTAGTATAACTTTATTAATATTAGTAAAAATAATATGGTTTTAAAATATTAATTTAAAAGACCATTCGCAAAGGAAATTAGATAAAACACTCAGAAATAAACCTCAAATAAATGTGAAGAACATATATGTTGTCTTTTTTTTTTTTTTTTTGAGACAGGGTCTCACTCTGTCACCCAGGCTGGAGTGCAGTGGCGTGATCATAGCTCACTGCAGCCTCTATTTCCCAGACTCAAGCAATCTTCCCGCCTCAGCCTCTTGAGTAGCCAGGAGTACAGGCATGCACCACTAGACCTGGCTAATTTTTTAAATTTTTTTGTAGAGACAATTTTTTATGTTGCCCAGGCTGGTCTCAAACTCCTGAGCTCAAGCCATCCTCCCACCTCGGCCTCCCAAAGTGCTAGGATTACATTCGTGAGCCACAGTGCCTGCCTTGGGGGACATATATGAAGAAAACATAAAAATCTTAATTTAGAGACATAAAAGAATGTATCAATAAAATGAGAGCCATTTATAAAGTTCCTGAATGGGCCAGTCAATATTTTCTGAGTGTTTAATTTTTCCCCAACTTAGTTTATAAATTTAAAGCAATATCTGTCAAAAATCCCAAAGCAATTTCTTATAAAATTTGACAAAATAGGGCCAGGCGTGGTGGCTCATGCCTGTAATCCCAGCACTTTGGGATGCCAAGGCAGGCAGATCACCTGAGATCACGAGTTCGAGACCAGCCTGACCAACATGGTGAAACCCCATCTCTACTAAAAATATAAAAAAAAAAAAAAAATTAGCTGGGCATGGTGGTGGGTGCCTGTAATTCCAGGTACTCAGGAAGCTGAGGCAGGAGAATTGCTTGAACCCAGGAGGCAGAGTGCAGTGAGCCAAGATCGCGCCACTATACTCCAGCCCGGGCACAACAGAGCGAGACTCCATCTCAAAAACAAAAAATTTTGACAAAATGATTCCTAAATTAACCTTGAAGACAACAAACATTTTGAAGTTAAAAAAAGAAGGTCAGGCACGGTGGTTCACACCTGTAATCACAGCACTTTTTGGGAGGCCAAGGGAGGCCTATCACCTGAGGTCCAGAGTTCCAGACCAGCCCGTCCAACATGGTGAAACCCCATCTCTACTAAAAATACAAAAGTTTTCTGGGCATGGTGGTGCACGCTTGCAAAACAAGCCCAGCTACTTGGGAGGCTGAGGCAGCAGAATCACTTGAAGCCAGGAGGTTGCAGTGAGCCGAGATCATGCCATTGCACTCCAGACTGGGTAACAAGAGCAAAACTCTATCTCAAAAAAAAAAGAATAATGAAGATAGTCCTGACCTACTTGATAATAAATAGCTGCAGCCATTAAAATGGTAGTCAGGAAGAGGCAAAGAGATCAAAGGAACAGAACAGAGTACAAAAACAGGACTAAATATATACAAAAATCTGGTATATGATAAAAGGTAGTATTTCCTTATTTTATTTATTTATTTATTTATTTATTTATTTATTTATTTATTTATTTATTTATTAATTAGAGACAGGGTCACACTGTGTTGCCCAGGCTGATCTCAAACTCCTGAGCTCAAGACATCACCCCACCTTAGCCTCCCAAGTAACTGGGACTACAGGCATACACCACCATGCCTAGCTAAAAGGTGGTATTTCAAGTCATTGGAGAAAGGATGAAATCTTCAACACATTAGGAATAGTCGGCTAATCAGAAAAAAAATTATATTACATGCTTACCTCATACCAAATTAAATTCCAGATGTGTTAGCAAGTGCTAGAAGAAAATATATGTGAGTATTTAAATATTCCTGGGGTGGAGAAGCTTAAAGGTGATATCGAAGGCAAAAGCCATAAAAGTAACAGCTAACAACATTTAATCACATAAACGGTAAATTGAAACTTATCAGCAACTAACAGAGGTAAAATTAAGACAAATTTTCAAGCAGGTTAAAAAGATATAGCTGTGATAAATATTAATTAATATACTTTACATAAACCATTCTTAAAAATTATAGGCCAGATATGGTGGCTCACGCCTGAAATACCGGCACTTTAGGAGGCCAAGGCGGGCAGATCACCTGAGGTCAGGAGTTCGGGACCATCCTGGCCAACATGGTGAAACCCCATCTCTACTAAAAATACAAAAATTAGCTTGGCGTGGTGGTGGGCACCTGTAATCCCAGCTACTCAGGAGGCTGAGGCAGGAGAATCACGTGAACCTGGAAGTAGAGGTTGCAGCAAGCCAAGGTCGCCCCACTGCACTCCAGCCTGGGCAACAGAGTGAGACTCCATCTCAAAAAAATAATAACAATCATTAAAGAAATCCAAAGAAACTTTGGTGTAACATATGGCATTAGTTAATGAAGCCGCACAACAAACCACCTCAAAATTTCTGCAAATTACAAAGCATTTATTTCTTCCTCTTGGAGAGCTCCCAAGGGGGCTGTGAGTCACTGTGAGTCTATTCTTTGTGTCTTCTCATTCCAGGACCAAGACTGAATGAGAAATCTCTGAAAAGCAGGCTGTTCTCACAGCAGAGGGCAGAAGCACAAGACAGACTGAGCCAAACCACGTAGATGCATTTGACATTTCTGCTTCAACAAGCATATGTTAATATTCCCTACCATCCCATAGGACAAAACAAATCATGTGGCCAAATAGGATGACCAATCTCCTCGGTTTGCCCAGGACTAAGACGGGTGCCAGGACACAGGACTTTCTGTTTTAAAATCAGGAATGTTCCAAACAAACCAGGACAAGTTAACTATCCTACGTGGCCAAACTCCAAGGTCAAAAGGCAGGGAAATATACTACACAGAGGGATGGTGGGTGACATTTTGAAGCAAAAATACAATCCACCACAGGCTTGAATAAGTCATTCACGAACAAAATCAAAATCAAAGAAATCTAAATTAAAACAATAAGATACCCTCTATTTAGTTTAAAACAAAATATGCAAGGCTGGGCGCAGAGGCTCATTCATGCCTGTAATTCCACCACTTTGGGAGGTAGGAGGATTGCTTGAGTCCAGGAGGTCAAGACCAGCCTGGGTAACATGGCGAAATCCGAGCTCTACAAAAAATATAAAAATTAGCCAGTCATGGTGATGTGCCCCTGTAAATCCCAGCTACCCAGGGGGCTGAAGCAGGAGGATCACTTGAGCCCAAGAGGTGGAGGTTATATTGAGCCAAGATCTTGGCCACTGTACTCCAAATTGGGCAATAGAGTGAGACTCTGTCTCAAAAAACAAAAACAGGCCGGGCATGGTGGCTCAAGCCTGTAATCCCAGCACTTTGGGAGGCCAAGGCGGGTGGATCACGAGGTCAAGAGATCGAGACCATCCTGGTCAACATGGTGAAACCCCATCTCTACTAAAAATAAAAAAAAATTAACTGGGCATGGTGGCACGTGCCTGTAGTCCCAGCTACTTGGGAGGCTGAGGCAGGAGAATTGCTTGAATCCAGGAGGTGGAGGTTGCGGTGAGCTGAGATCACGCCATTGCACTCCAGCCTGGGTAACAAGACTGAAACTCCGTCTCAAAAAAAAAAACAAGAGGACAGGATAGCAACAAGGGACACAAACATTTCTGTTTCTTGATCAGGGCTGGTTACACACTGTGTTCATTTAATGAAAATTCATCCAACTGTACACTCATGATTTATGTACTTTTTGCTTGTATATAAAAAGTTTTTTTTTAATACCATGTAAAGGCTAATGCCATTTAAAAAATAAATAGAATATACTCATACATCAAAATGTCACCATTAATAATAGTTACTCCAGGCAGTGGGAAGTGTTAAGAGAAACATACTACTACCTTTATGATAAAATGAAACAGAATCCATATTGCAGAAGGTACAATGTTTCCAAAAGGGTTGATTAATTTGGAATGTCATCAGAGGTATGAACAATGTGTCAATTGCCATGAGAAAATTCACATATTCATAGCATGCGATCTAGTCACTCTAAATCTGGAACTACATCCTAAAGGAAATTACCCAAAATGGAAGAAAGAATGCAGTTGAGCCTAGTGCTATAAGCGGGAAGTGGTTCTCTTTCATACCATGTTCATAAGGTGAAAAAGTGCCTGCATCGATGTTAATATAGGGGTCGATTTTGATGGCAGTAACTCGGAGTCCACATGATTTTAGAATCGTCCCAATGCTGCTGGCGATGATCCCTTTGCCAATGCCTGAGATGACCCCACCAGTGACCAGGATGTACTTCATTGTCAGAGAAGTGGCTGGATGTCAGCACCCAGATAGAATCTGAAAGGCAACAAAATTATGGATAAGGAAAGATAAATATTTTCTCAAACTGGTAAAGCAGACAGTGCATTCAACCAGAATTTTTTTTTTTTTTTGAGACGCAGTCTCACTCTGTCACCAAGGCTGAAGTGCAGCGGTGCAATCAATCATGGCTCACTGTAACCTCTGCCCCTGGGTTCAAGCGATCCTCCCACCTCAGCATCCTAGTAACCAGGACTATAGGTGAGCACCACTACGACCTGTTAATTTTTGTATTTTTTTAACAGAGACAGAGTTTCACCGTATTGCCCAAGCTGGTCTCAAACTCCAGAGTTCAAGTGATCCACCTGCCTCAGCCTCCTAAAATGCTGGGATAACAGGCATGAGCCACCACGCCCAGCACAGAATTTTTTTTTTAAGAGACAGTGTCTCGCTATGTCACCCAGGCTGGAGTGCAGTGACATGTTCATAGCTCCCTGCAACCTTGAACTTCTGGGCTCCAGCAATCCTCTTGCCTTAGGCTCCCAAGAGCTGGGACTACAGGCATGTGCCACCTCTCCCAGATAATTCTTAGATTTCTTTTTTTTTCGTAAACACCGGGTCTTACTATGGTGCCCTGGCTGGTCCCAAACTCCTGGGCTCAAGCAATCCCCTTGCCTTGGCCTCCTAAGACGCTGAGTTTACAGAAGCAAGCCACCATGCTTCGTCCCACCAAAATTTCAAAAGCACACAACACTTTTCTCTCTAAACTAAATACTTGGACTTTTTGAAACAGTCTTATCTTCTAGGCTTTTCACTGTCGGCACCATACAGAAAGCTATGGGTACCTTCTGCGAGCAAAGTGCCTGGGTCTGTTGCCCTGGGTTTCCAAAGACCTCAACTCTGCCATGCAACAAACTTCATCATGAGAAGCCAAATTTCTCTAGGACTCACAGGCATGCTAAAATGTTTAAGAGCTCAGACTCTGCTCTCAGACTGATCTGTACAAACTGCACCTGGGCAAGTTCTTTTTTTTAGACAGGGTCTCACTCTGTTGCCCAGGCTAGAGTGCAAGTAGCACAATCTCGGCTCACTGCAACCTCCACCTCCACTGTTCAAGGGCTTCTCATGCCTCAGCCTCCCGAGTAGCTGGGATTACAGGTATGTGCCATCATGCTGGGCTAATTTTTGTATTTTTAGTAGAGACAGAGTTTCACCATGTTGGTCAGGCTGGTCTCAGACTCCTGGTCTCAAGTGACCACCCACCTCAGCCTCCCAAAGTGCTGGGATCACAGGCATGAGCCACCACACCAGGCCCTGGGCAAGTTCTTTATCCTTTCTGTGCCTATTCCTTTAACTGTAAAGTGGGAAAAAAAATTACCAATCCCTAGGAATATTGTTTGGTGCTAAAAACAAATGGGCTTCTAAGCTATGAAGAAACATGGAGGAATCTCAAGTGCATATTACCAAGTGAAAGATGCCAATCTGAAAAAGCTACATACTGTATGACTTCAACTATACGACATTTTGGAAAAGGCAAAACTACAGACAGTAAAAAGATCAGTGGTTGTCAGTGGGTAGGAGGGAGAGAGGGATGAATAGGCAGAATACAAGTGAATTTTAGGGCAGTCAAACTATTCTGTATGATACTGTAATGATGGATACATGTCATTATACATTTATCCAAACCCACAGAATGGATAAGAGGAAGCGTGAACCCTGAAGTAAATAAACTACAGACTTTAGGCAAAAATGATGCATCACCGTAGGTTCACTGATTATAATAAAGGTACCACTCTGCAGGTGCAGGATGTTAATAGTCAGGGAGGCTGGGCATAGCAGTGGGGAGAGTGTGGATGAGAACTCTACTTTCCACTTGGTTTTGCTGTGAACCTAAAATTGCTCTAAAAAAAAAAGTCTTGCTAGGCACAGTGGCTCACTGCACTCCAGCCTGGGTGACAGAGCGAGACTATGTCTCAAAAAAATAAAAAGTGACGGCCGGGCGCGGTGGCTCAAGCCTGTAATCCCAGCACTTTGGGAGGCTGAGGCGGGTGGATCACGAGGTCAAGAGATCGAGACCATCCTGGTCAATTTGGTGAAACCCCCGTCTCTACTAAAAATGTAAAAAATTAGCTGGGCATGGTGGCGCGTGCCTGTAATTCCAGCCCAGCTACTCAGGAGGCTGAGGCAAGAGAATTGCCTGAACCCAGGAGGCGGTGGTTGCGGTGAGCTGAGATCGCACCATTGCACTCCAGCCTGGGTAACAAGAGCGAAACTCCGTCTCAAAAAAATAAAAATAAAAATAAAAATAAAAAAATAAAAAATGTTTTTGAACAAGCGATATGAAATCAATTACAACTCATCCAGTTCACAGATGCTGACTGACTGAATCCTGTTACACCAGTCATAACTACAGCTTTAATTGGACAAGAGACTGATTTCAGTAACTTTCTCTTGATAAGAAGACCACCAACCATGGACTGGCTCTGGCCAATTCACAGAGGCTGCATATTTGCGTGCCTTCATGTCCTGAAAAGATCTTTCGATGCATAGGGCTTAACCAAAATTCATTTAAATGTTAAGTCTCCACCCCAAAGTGAACATGGGTAATATGCTATTTGCATGTTTATTCAATACACTGAGTCAGGACCGCCTTCACAAATATTTATAAGCTCCTCCCATAACTTGTTGAATATGTATGTTTAGCCAACCCCTTCAGCATAAACCTGAACCCACCTCCTTTGAAGTGCCTGCCTCTGATTTTGGGAGGCCAAAGTAGGACGGTAACTTGAGGCCAGGAGTTTGAGAACAGCCTAAGCAACATTGCAAGACTTTGTCTCTAATTTTTAAAAAGTGTACTTCCCAGCCTGCGGGATGGCCACTTTGCAGGCTGTAACCCTTTATAAGAAATAAAGTAAGCCAGGCACAGTGGCTCATGCCTGTAATCCCAGCACTTGGAGGCTGAGGCGGGTAGATCATGAGGTCAGGAGTTCGAGACCAGCCTGGCCAACATGGTGAAACCCTGTCGCTACTAAAAATACAAAAATAAGCTGGGCGTGGTGGTACACGCCTATAATCCCAGCTACTAGGCAGGCTAAGGCAGGAGAATCGCTTGAACCCGAGAGGAGTAGGTTGCACCGAGCTGAGATGGTGCCATTGCACTCCAGGCTGGGCAACAGAGCAAGACTCCATCTCAATAAATAAATAAATAAAATATATACATATATTATATATAATGTTTATTTGAACATCTATTACATGCTTGACATATTCCCAAGTCCTAGGAATAAGACAACAGAAAGACAAGGTCTATGTCCCACTGGACTTCACCTTTCCTGCAGGATTAATGGACAAAGAAACTGTGCTTTAATTATACTGTATTCTGGCACTGTCATACTGTTCAAGTGACTCTCTCTTCATAAAAGTTAGTGAAATGGAAAAATGCCATAGAGGTATGGCGAAGAAAACTGGCACACATTCATGCAAAGTCATATTATGCCTAAGGATTTTTCATATAAAAAAATGCTTATGTGGCTGGGGGCGGTGGCTCACGCCTGTAACCCCAGCACTTTGGGAGGCAGAGATGGATGGATTGCCTGAGGTCAGGAGTTTGAGACCAGCCTGGGCAACATGGGGAAACCCCGTCTCTACTAAAATACAAAAAATTAGCCAGGTGTGGTGGCGGGCACCTGTGATCCCAGCTACTCAGGAGGCTGAGGCCCGAGAATTGCTTGAACCTGGGAGGTGGAGGTTGCAGTGAGCTAGGATTGTGCCAATGCACTCCAGCCTGGGCAACAAAGCAAACACAAGAAAGAAAGAAAAAGAAGGAAGGAAGGAAGGAAGAAGGAAGGAAAGAAGGAAGGAAGGAAGGAAGGAAGGAAGGAAGGAAGGAAGGAAGGAAGGAAGGAAGGAAGGAAGGGAGGGGAGAGAAAGATAGAAAATCCTTATGTTACCTGTAAAAGAGCAGAATATAAAATTGAAAGAAAGAGAAAGAAAGAAAATCCTTATGTTACCCGAAATAGGAAGAGCAGACTATAAAATTGAATCTATTATCCACTATGTGTTTTTAAACTAGGATCTAAATTTTCGTTGTCACTATTAAGATTTCCATCTTAATTTGGTCAAAAATACACCTTTTTTTTTTTTTTGAGATGGAGTCTTGCCCTGTCACCCAGGCTGGAGTGCAGTGGCATGATCTTGGCTCACTGTAACCTCCGCCTCCCAGGTTCAAGCAATTCTCCTGCCTCAGCCTCCAGAGTAGCTGCGACTATAGGTGTGCACCACCACACCCAGCTAATTTTTATATTTTTAGTAGAGACAAGGTTTCACCATGTTAGTCAGGCTGGTCTTGAACTCCTGACCTTGTGATCCACCCGCCTCAGCCTCCCAAAGTGCTGGGATTACAGGCGTGAGCCACTGCGCCCAACCTGTCTTTCTTTTGTTTTTTTTTTTTGTTTGTTTGTTTTGAGACAGAGTCTCACTCTGTCGCCCAGGCTAGAGTGCAGTGGCACAATCTCAGCTCACTGAACCTCCACCTCCCAGGTTCAAGTGATTCTCCTACCTTAGCCTCCTGAGTAGCTGGGACTACAAGCATGTGCCACCACATCCGGCTAATTTTTTATTTTTAGTAGAGACAGGGTACTACCATGTTGGTCAGGCTGGTCTCGAGGCCTCCCAAAGTGCTGGGATTATAGACGTGAGCCACCACACCCTGCCTATATCTTAATATGCTTAGGTGATTGGGTTGTATGTGTTGGGACTCAGAAAACAAAACCCTGAAATGAAGACCTCAGAAGCAAAGTTTCTCTCTGACCTTCTCCTGCCCTCCTGTCTCTCACCCCTCATACTCCCCCCCAAGGCAAGTCATAGCAACTAGAACCCCTTTCTCCCCAAAGCTAGCCATAAAGCTAAAAAATATGACTCTAACCTTCCTCTCAACCACCTTTCTATACAACAGCTGGCCATGAAGAAATTAAGACCCTTGGCTGAGCGAGTTGGCACACACCTGTAATCCTAACACTTCGGGAGGCCAAGGCAGGTGGATTACCTGAGGTCAGGAGTTCAAGACCAGCCTGGCCAACATTGTGAAACCCCATCTCTACTAAAAATACAAAAAGTAGCTGGGTATGGTAGTGCACACCTGTAATCCCAGCTACTCAGGAGGCTGAGAAAAGAGAATCGCTTGAACCCAGGAGGTGGAGATTGCAGTGAGCAGAGATCACGCCACTGCACTCCAGCCTGGGCAATGGGAGCAAGACTTCATCTCAAAAAAAAAAAAAGAAAGAAAAGGAAAAAACAAATTAAGACCTCATTCTAAAGAGGTCCTACCCCATACCGGGTAGGAAGAAATGCCACAACATAGAGGCCAAAAAGAATCTGGACAGGCCTTGCTGGGTTTCCCCACTCAGTCTATTTCCATCAGCTCATCTGTCCCTGCTTCATGGACTCCAAGCATAAAAAATCAGATCATTTCCCTTGCATCTTTTTTTTTGTTGTTGCATTTTAGGTTTTGGGGTACATGTGAAGAACATGCAAGATAGTTGCATAGGTACACACGTGGCAGTGTGATTTGCTGCCTTCCTCCCCTTCACCTATATCTGCATCTTTAAGGGGTTTTCATTTCTTTTTTTCTTTTTTCCAGACAGAATCTCACTCTGTTGCCCAGGCTGGAGTGCAGTGTCACAATCTCAGTTCATTACAACCTCCACCTCCTGTATTCAAGCGATTCTCCTGCCTCAGCTTCATATATATATATATATATATATTTTTTTTTTTTTTTTTTTTTTAGTGGAGACGGGGTTTCACCATGTTAGCCAGGATGGTTTCGATCTCCTGACCTCAAGATCTGCCCACCTAGGCCTCCAAAAGTGCTGGGATTACAGGCGTGAGCCACCGTACCCAGCCAGGGGTTTTCATTTCTAAAGGCTCCTATGCCACATAAACCTATGACTCAATAAATTGTTACATTTCTCTCTTGTTAATTTATCTCTTGTTTAAGGCTGTCAGCCATGACCCTTAGGATGAGTAAAGAAACATTCGCTCTTTCCTCTCCTACATAAGCAATTACTCATTCTCTGTATTTTCAAAAACACCATACAGCTTTTTAAAGCATATTGGATTTTTTAGAAACCTTTTTTTAAAATGCAACTTAATACCAAGGAGACACTTAATTATTTCTACTTCTTTTAAGCAAACAAATAAGTTTAACAACGTTTCAAAGGTGCAGGGAAAGACTGGCCCTGTTTTAGATCACTTCCTCCATTTGGGATGGTTTCTGGTGTCATGGCAAGTTTTTCATTCACTCTTCCATGCAGTGAACAGAACCAAGTGTTTGTAGGATAGCACAGTGTCGAGTTATGCTGTCTCCACTATCTAATAAAAAATATTACACAGTCAGGTATGTAATTTTAAGTTTCTAGTAGCCATATTTTAAAAAGTAAAAAGAATCAAATGAAGGCCGGGCACGATGGCTCATGCCTGTAATCCCAACACTTTGGGAGGCCGAGGTGGGTGGGATCAACTGAGGTCGGGAGCTTGAGACCAGCCTGACCAACATGGAGAAACCCCATCTCTACTAAAAATACAAAATTGGCAGAGCACAGTGGTGCACGCCTATAGTCCCAGCTACTGGGAAGGCTGAGGCAAGAGAATCGCTTGAATCCGGGAGACAGACATTTCAGAGAGCCGAGATAGCCACTGCACTCCAGCCTGGGTGACAGAGGGAGACTCGTCTCAACAGAAAAAAAAAAAGAATCAAATGAAGTTCATGTTAATGTTATTTAACCCCATGTAGCCAAAAAATATTCATTTTTAACACATAATGTAAGAATGTATTAGTAAGATATTTTACATCTTTTTGTGTACTAAGCTTTCAGAAATCAGATGCCTATATCTAGAGCACATCTCAGTTCGGATTTTGCCACATTTCCAGTATTCAATAACAACATGTGGCCAGTGGCTCCCACCTTAGACCAGGCCAGCCAAGAGCAAATAAAAGCAGCGGAAGCACCCAGAGACAGCTTCCCAGTGATGGCCATTTTAAAATAATATTAGACACAAAAGAGTACTTACCAGATGATCTTGTTCTATGACGTTCTAGAACAGGCAAAACTAAGCTTGATAACAATCAGAACGGGGGTTGAGTGCGGGGCCTGGGGCTGCAAGGGCTAACTGGAGGGAGGGACCAAAGAGCTTTGCAGGGTAAAAGAAATGGTCAATGTTCACGTTGGGATAATGGTTACAGGAGGGTATAATTTGTCAAATCCCATCGATTTGCACACTAAAAACGGGGCATTTTATCGTATATAAACTATACATACAATCCTTTTTTATGTTGCCCCCCTCAAAAGGTATTTTGTAGCAGCAGCGTAGTTCGGCACTATTGCTCCCTAACCCTCCAGTACGGGGAAAAAGCGAGGGTCGTTGATTAACCGGTGCACTGGGACCGGGGAGAGGACAGAAAGGCCCTGTTACCGACGCTGATCACCAGCCTCGCCGACCCCCGCTTGGGGCTTTATTTCCAACAACGCCATCTCTGGCTCTCAGGCTCCCGAAGGCCGGGAGAAGTGGGGATCCCGGTACAGGCGCGGGGGCGGGCGGGGTAGGGGAAAAACCCGTCCCGGGGACTAGCGGGACAGGCTCCGACCGCACTGGGCCCAGGTCAGAGTCCCCCAGCCCCTGCGTCACACCCGGCAGCCGCGGTCGGCGAGCGCGGGATGCTGGACGCGGGGAGCTGGCGGCCGGACTCTGGACTCAGCGCTGGGGAGTGAGCGGGCGCCATCAGAGAGGGGACAAAGGAGTCCGGCCCTACAAATACCCCGGGGCTGGGGGTGCGGGGCGGAGAGGCCTTGGGGATGCGGGGCGGCCCGGGCGGGCGCCGAGGCCCTGGGGGTCTGGAACAGGCCCAGGAGGGAAGTTACCTGCGCAGTGATGGTAGCGCCGGGGAGGGTGGCCGACGGGGACGGTAGGCTCCAACCGGTTGCTGGCCTGGCGCTCACCTGTCGGATTGTAGAAGGGGACGCTGCCTGGGCTGTCCAAAGCCGCCCCCGCGATCTTCCCGCCGCCCACACGGGCCTCGGGGTGCGCAGCGCCCTCCTCGCCCACCTTCCCCTCTCCGCCCAGCTGCTGGCCCAGCTGACTCACGCTGCTGAGCTTGGGGTTTGCACCCGGGTTTGTGCAGTGGTCCAAAACAAGCGCCTAAAAAGTGATTCCTCCAGCACAGGCAGCTCCCGTCTCCCTCCTCTCTGGACGCACTGGGCCCCAAGCCTCGCCCCGCCCGGGTACCGCTCCTCCCTCCGCTGGCTCACTTTGCAAAGGCACTTCGAGTGCGCGAATGAACTCCACGCCTCCCGCAGAGCCCCCGCCCCCTGGCAGGCCGAGACCCTCGCTCGTGTCCTCCTGTCCAGATCTCACATTTGCAAAGGACTTTACTAGTCACAAACGTTTGTGAATCCCCTACTACACTCCAGGAACTGCAAGAGAATTCAGGAGAGAAGGAAAAGAAAATAGAATACCTGCCTTTGAGAGCTAGCTCACAGTCTGGTCCACCTGTCTGTTGGAAGCAGTAAGTCTCCCTAGAACTATACTCGTGCAGCAAAGAGCTGCGGGGGTGCGGGGAGGGGAGGAAGGCAATTAAGGCTTTGAAGAGTGACTTTTTTTTTTTTTTTGAGATGGAGAAGAGTGACCTTTAAGAGTATTTGGGCCGGGTGTGCGGTGGCTCACGCCTATAATCCCAGCACTTTGGGAGGCCGAGGTGGGTGGATCACCTGAGGTCGAGAGTTCAAGACCAGCCTGGCCAACGTGGTGAAACCCCTGTCTCTACTAAAAATGCAAAATTAGCTGGGTATGGTGGCGCCTGCCTGTAATCCCAGCTACTCCGGAGGCTGAGGCAGGGAGAATTGCTTGAACCCAGGAGGCAGAGGTTGCAGTGAGCTGAGATCACACCATTGCACTCCAGCCTGGGTGACACTAGAGACTCTGTCTCAAAAACAAACAAAAAAAGAGTATTGGAGGATGACTGGTGCTGGAAATGGATACAGGTGGTTTTTCAGTTGAAGGCAAGAAGCAAACCACTGAAGGAAGCTAACATGAACAATAGAAGGATCTGAAGTGAAATAGAAGGTTTTAGGAAAGTGGAGGAAATTTTGCATAACCGATGTGAGATGCTAGAGGAACAAGTTAGACAAGAGTCACTGAAGACCTAGTGGAGTTTAGAAACCATCATCATGTAGTGATGTCCAGCTATAATCTGGCAAGGTATCTGCAGAAATACAGCTCTTAGTGATGAAACGCAAGTTTGCTGCTTGCATAGAGTAGGACAATAGAGTGAGGAGGCAGAGGGCACAGAAAGACTGGGATTGCACTGATGGACCAGAGCTCTAGTCCTAGAGGACACGAACTATTAATAAAACCAGCAGGAAGCTGATGGACTGGCAAACAGATGAGAGAAGGGCTCCAAGGCCAGGGCCTCTGAGGAGAGGACTGGCAAACTGCCAGTGGAGAGTGTCGTGCTGGAGTCCAGGCCTTCAAATTGGTATTCCAGGAAACGAGACAGTTTGGGGTGCAGCAGCTACACTGGAATAGAAAAGTGAGATGGCCATCACTGGCCTCGGGTCTAGTGCCCACAAGAATGGTGCGTTGGACATCCAGGGTTCCAAAAGGATGGCAAGAGGTGGAGGAGTCGATTGAGGTCAAAGAACTTCAGGAAATGGGGGTCGCAGGATGGGTAGTGAGTCTGAAACTAATAGATGACTGTGACAAGGAAGGGGAGAGGGTTGCAGAACAAATGTCAATGTCTTTCAAGACACAATGGAGGCCTGGCACTGTGGCACACCACTGTAATCCCAGCACTTTGAGAAGCCGAGACAGGCAGATAGTTTGAGTCCAGCAGTTGGTGACTCACCTGGACAAACATGGCAAAACCCCGTCTCTACAAAAAATACAAAGATTATCAGGTGTGTTTGCATGCGTCCCAGGGGAGGCTGAGGTGGGAAGATTGTCTAAGCCCAGGATGTCAAGGCTGCAGTGAGCTATGATCGCGCCACTGCACTCCAGCCTGGACAACAGAGTGAGACATTGTCTTAAAAAGTAATTAATTTTAAAAAGTAAACACAGCCAGGCACAGTGGCTCACGCCTGTAATCCCAGCACTTTGGGAGGCCGAGGCAGGTGGATCACGAACTCAGGAGATGGAGACCATCCTGGCTAACACGGTGAAACCCCATCTCTACTAAAAATACAAAAAATTAGCTGGGCGTGGTGGCATGAGTCTGTAGTCCCAGCTGCTCGGGAGGCTGAGGCACGAAAATCGCTTGAATCCCCAGTGGCAGAGGTTGCAGTCAGCGGAGATCACACCACTGCACTCCAGCCTGGGCAACAGAGCTAGACTCCATCTCAAAAAGTAAATAAAATAAAATAAACACAATGGGATCTCTCCCCACCAAGGATGAAAGAACAGTATTGTGGAGGAAGCAGTAAGGAGCTTGGAACAATGATGTCAACTTCTGGGAAAAGAAGCAGAGGCTTCACTCAGCAGGGGATCCTTGGGGGAGGTCCAGGTCTCCATGGGGCTTTGGGGGCTCTGGGAGAGGGTCGAGGAACCACCTTGTCAAAAGGCTGGAGGCATAAACAAGTCTTCCAGAGGGCTTAGGGAAAAGAATGTTTATGAAATGGGTTGGAATGGGTGCTAATACTTAATACCCGCCACATATGTAAGCTTTCCTTCCATAGTTCCACCTTTCATTTTCTTTTTACAACCAGGACAATTGTTATGATCCCCCTTTTAGAATGAGGAACCTGAGGTTGAGAGATGTGAAATGTCTTCACTAAGGGTACATTAGTCAATATGAGTGGCGAAGTCAGGACATCAATGCACAGCCACACTCCACCACAGGATGTGAGGCCTCATCCAACTGTCTTATTCTATTCATCTCAGAGGCTAATGGATAAAAGGTAGTCTGTAAATACAAAGGGGTCATTTTAATAACTATTGTATTATTAATCTCAAATGGAAAAAATAATGAGCCAGAAAACAAATTTGATAACAGGGTAAGGTTATCAAATTTGTGTGGGGTAAGGGTGCGTCCTCATTCAACAAGTGTCAATTCATAGCCCACTACTGGCATAACATTTTGCTGGATCTGCACAAGATGTTTTTTTTTTTCTGAAATGGAGTTTCACTCTTGTCACCCAGGCTGGAGTGCACTGGCACAATCTTGGCCCACTGCAACCTCCACCTCCCTGGTTCAAGTGATCCTCCTGCCTCAGCCTTCTGAGGCGCCCATCACCACGCCCATCAAATTTTTGTATTTTTAGTAGAGACAGGGTTTTTTACCATGTTGGCCAGGCTGGTCTCGAACTCCTGACCTCAGGTGATCCACCCGCCTTGGCCTCCCAAAGTGCTGAGATTACAGGCGTGAGCCACTGCACCCAGCCAGATGATTTTTTTAAAATGAAAATGAAGTCCATCATTAAGTTGATTGCTTATGTTCTTCTTTTACAATTTTTTTTCTTTTTTTTTTGAGTCAGGGTTTTGCTTTATCACCCAGGCTGGAGTGCAGTGGCGTGATCACAGCTCACTGCAGCCTCCAGCTCCCAGGCTCAAGCAATCCTCCCAGCTCAGCCTCCAGAGTAGCTGAGACCACAGGTGCAAGCCACCACACCCAGTTCATTTTTTATTTTTTGTACAGACAGGGTCTCGTTATGTTGCCCAGGCCAGGACTCAAGCAATCCTCCCACCTCAACCCCCCAAAGTGCTGGGATTATAGGCATGAGCCACTGTGCCCAGCTTAATCTTTTATTTTTAAGAATTCTACCTTTCAGAACAGTTGTAAAACTGTCTTTCCCTTGGTGACCACAGTGTTCATCATGATTTTCAGTGACCCGTAAGATAAAGCAGGGTAAGGCTGACAGGGCTGGGCACCACCTCTGCAATGGGAAGGACCAGCACTATATTTCTTTTGCAAGTGAGAAAACTTGAAGGGCAAAAGGATGACTAAAACGTCAAATCTAGGCCTGGCATGGTGGCTCATGCTTGTAATTCCAGCACTTTGGGAGGCTGAGGTGAGTGGATCATCTGAGATCAGGAGTTTGAGACCAGCCTGGCCAACATGATGAAACCCCATCTCTACTAAAAATACAAAATTAGTCAGGTGCAGTGGCAGGTGCCTGTAATCCCAGCTACTAGGGAGGCTGAGGCAGGAGAATTGCTTGAACCCAGGAGGCAGAGGCTGCAGTGAGCCGATACTGTGACACTGCACTCCAGCCTGGACAAGACAGAGTGAGACTCCCTCTCGAAAAAAAAAAAAAAAAAGGAAAGTTTATTAACCTACTAGATGGTGGAATTAGAAGCCCCATCCTAGGCTTCTCACTCAAATTCCTGGCTCTATTCAATCATACTTGAAGCAAATATCCTATTCTGGAAAGTCTCAACTGCTTTCAGGTTCTTATTGACTTAATAAAGCCTGGAAAGGCATTGATACTAAGACATCTCCTGACTTCAAAGCTGAATCAATATTTGGACTCGGAAAACAGGTTAGAATGTCATTAACACCACTGAATTGCACACTTACAAAATGGTTAAAATGGCAAATTTTTTGTTATATATGTTTACTACAATTTAAAAATATTAATAGCATAATATACCAAAAATATATACCATTGAATTGTACACTTTAAACAGGTGAATTGTAAGGTGCCTGAATTACATCTCAATAAAGCTGTTTGGGGGAAAGAAAAAACAGGTTAGGCTTGATAATCTAAAATCCTGGACCTGAATAAAACGTAAATGTAAGTCAGGCCGGAAAACTGGGCAGCAGGGAGATCAGAGCTGTAGTCAGTTCTTCATGTACTCCCTCAGGTCACCAGAACTGTCCTCCGCTTCTCAAAATAGCTGGGGAGCAAGGAATCACGGATGTCCTTCCACAACTAACGACTGGAGACTGTGCTTGGGACATGTGTCCATGAACTCTCTGCTCTGAAGGCGTAGTTATTCATATCACCAGGTTTTTGTTACGTTTACACGTTATTGTGGGAAAAGTTAAAAATATAGAAAAGATGGCCGGGTGTAGTGGCTCACGCCTGTAATCCAAGCACTTTGGAGGCCAAGGCGGGTGGATCACCTGAGGTCGGGAGTTCAAGACCCGCTTGACCACCAACATGGTGAAACCCCATCTTTAAAAAAAAAAGAAATTTAAAAAAAAAAAAAGAAAAGACAAATGTTTAATCACCCAGCTTCAAGTCATGGCCAGGCTTCTTTCATCTATATCCTCACCCATTCCTCCCCACTCCCATACTGTATTAATTTGGAGCAAATTCTAGACCTGGTATCATTTCCTTTTTTTTTTTTTTTTGAGACGGAGTTTTGTTCTTGTCACCCAGGCTGGAGTGCAATAGTACAATCTTGGCTCACTGCAACCTCCGCCTCCTGAGTTCAAGCAATTCTCCTGCCTCAGCCTCCCGAGTAGCTGGGATTACAGGCACCACGTCCGGCTAATTTTTTGTATTTTTTAGTAGAGATGGGGTTTCACCATGTTGGTCAGCCTGGTCTTGAACTCCTGACCTCAGGTGATCCACCCATCTGGCCCCCAAAGTGCTAGAATTACAGGCCTGAGCCACTGCACCTGGCCCAGATATGGCATCGTTTCTTTCTTTTATTTATTTCCCACCAGGAACACATGCACTTTATTAAACGCCATTGTAGAAAAGTGGGTGAGGATAAAGGGCTGATACAGGACTCAGCCCTGAGGCAGGGCAAGGAATGGAAAGGGGAATACTTGGGAAACAGGTCACCGGCAGAGCCCCTGGCCTAGATGATTCCTCTTGATCTATTGATAGACTTGCAAAATCAGTATGGGGATGATGATAAGCAGAACGGTCATGATGATGCCCCAAATCAGGGCCCAGATGTTCAGGCACTTGGCAGTGGAGGCATAGGCCTGGGCCCCGATCAGGTTGCCAACCATCTTCCTGTCCCTAAACTTCATGGAGTAGGCGAACACTATGAAGCCCAGGCAGCAGGAGTTCATGAAGAAGGTGTTGAACAGGGACCAGACGACATGGTCAAGCACGGAGGTCTTGCTGTGGATGTGGATCACAGTGGACGTCAGGGGAGTAGGTTGTGGGGTGCTCCCAGCGCAGCCACCTCCTGCTCCTCCTTCAGCATCTCATAGTTGGGGGGACAGTCGCTGTTGGCAGGAGTGAAGAAGGTTTGGACAGCGTGGTTCCTGGTATCCAGGGAAGACCAGCTGTGGTCGGGTTGCTGGGATGGTTCTCAGTGCCAGATATGGCATCATTTCTTTGGTAAAATCTTAATATGTGTGGTGGCTCACGCCTGTAATTCCAGCATTTTGGGAGGCTGAGGCAGGTGGATCGCCTGAGGTCAGGAGTTCTAGAGTCTAGCCAACATGGTGAAACGCATCTCTACTAAAAATACAAAAATTAGCAGGGCATGGTGGCGGGCGCCTGTAATCCCAGCTACTCGGGAGGCTAACGCAGGAGAATCACTTGAACCCGGGAGGCGGAGGTTGTGGTGACCCGAGATTGTGCCATTGCACTCCAGCCTGGGCCACAAGAGCAAGACTCCGTCTCAAAAAAAAAAAAAAAGAAAGAAAGAAAAGAAATTATTAAGATGGTAAATCTTATATTAAGATGGTAATTTTTGTGTATTTTACTACAATTAAAATTTTGTAATTTCACAGTTCCTCAATTTTATCAACTACCCAGTGTCCAAATTTCCAGTTGTTATAATAAATGTCATACTATTTTTTTCAATGTGTTTGCTGAATTAGGGTCCTAATAAAATGTATAAGTGGCCATGGGGTCCATGGCTTAAGTCTTTTTTAATCTATAGGTTCCCCACCACGCCCCCCTCTTCCTTGCAATTTATTTGAAGAAACAAGGTTGTGTGTCCTGTGGCTTCTCATAGCCTACATTCTGCAGACAGCATCCCATTGTGTTATTTAACACCTTATTCTGTCCTCTCTATTCCCTATCAGTTGGCCTTGGCGGCTTTGGGTTAGTTTTGAATTGGGCTCTGGAGGAGGCTAAAGACATCCAATTCCGCGGGAACCCAGCCCTGCGGGACCTGAAAAGGCGAGGTTAAGTCACCAGCCAAGCTGCTTTGAGGCAATCTTAAAATGAGACTGGCTAGGACTGTGACAAAGACGCTGTCCACACGCCTTGGTCAGTTACCTACAAAGCTGGCGCAGGAGGAAAAGAAGCCAGGCGGGGCTACGCTGGGAAAACCCTTTGTCCCCACGCCACGCACACAAAACAGCTGTCACAATTGACGTCACCATGGGCGGAGCGTTTAGACGGACGTGACGCTAAGGACCGCGGCGGGGTCGTCATAGGGGCGGGGCTGCGGACGGCTCCGGTGTCTCTCCGATTTCCGGCCATCTCCCGGAGAGTCGCGCAGAGTGGAGCTAGTGGTCGCCAGTGCTCACTGAGGTCTCTGGGTATCGGGACCGCGGCGGCGGCCCCGCGGGCGGGATGTTCCGGGGCTTGAGCAGTTGGTTGGGCTTGCAGCAGCCGGCGGCGGGCGGTGGGCAGCCCAAGGGAGAAGGGCAGCCTGACGGCTCCGCTCCCCCCGAGCAGCCATCCGAGACGGTGGCTGAGTCCGCGGAGGAGGAGCTGCAGCCAGCGGGAGACCACGAGATCCTCCACCAGGCCAAAGACTTCGGCAGTGAGTCTCCCCCGTCTCTGGGACTGGGAAGTAGGGCGCATTCCTCCTCTGGGACACCCCTGGGGCGCGGGCCCGACTGGCTGAGGGACAAGGGGGCCGGGAGAGAGGCAGGGGCGGAAGATGTGGCTGTAGGCCAGTCCTTTCCGGGTCGGGAGAGATTGGTGAGGATCTGGACAAGGATAGAGCTTCATCTAGCAGTCAGGTCCTGTCCCTGAAGTTCCTGGTGACAAGTCACTCTACAAAGTTTGCAGACGTTGGAATCTGATATGCGGTCAAGCAATGTAACCCGACGTCTTCAGGTTTGACAAGGAGTCTTTTTTGTTCAACTCGAAAACCTTCACCTACACTCCCCAGATCGGGGATCGTTGGCGAGCTTGAATTGGTTGAAAAAGTGCTTTTTTGCCCTTAGGTCAGAACGTGTTGTATGCAGTAAACTGACAGTTACTGAATGTCTCCCTCCTGGTCACCTGCTTTTTAGGTACAGTGGGACCTTTTTCCTTAAGGTCTGCTATATGTCTGCCAGGGTCTGCTATATTCAAGTTGCAGTACTAGGTGTTTTATGAAAGATATCACCTTTCATCTGTTAAACACCCCTAGTGAGTTGGAGGAACAAGCCCAGAGTTATTGGACAAAAGTTACACTGATAGTGAGTGGTAGAAGTGGAATTTGAGCTTCGATCTGTCTAATTTTAAAGCCCTTGCTCTTTCTGAGTTTATAGTCTACTGGGATGAGGGGATGGGCAATAATAGATGTGAAGAATATAAACATATGCTATAGTAATTCCCATTTCTGGAGAGACTGTGGTGGGCTTCAGTGATCAGAGAAACTATCTTTGAGGCCAGGCGCGGTGGCTCACACCTGTAATCCCAACACTTTGGGAGGCTGAGGCCCGCAGATCACGAGGTCAGGAGATCGAGACCATCCTGGCCAACATGGTGTAACCCCGTCTCTACTAAAAATACAAAAAAATTGCCAGGCATGCTGGCAGGCACCTGTAATCCCAGCTACTCAAGAGGCCGAGTCAGGAGAATCGCTTGAACCAGGGAGTTTGTGTGATAGAGTGAGACTCCACCTCAAAAAAAAAAAAAAAAAGTGGGACAAAGGAAAAGCAAGATATATAGCTGCGAGAATTAATGTGAATTGCAGGACCAAAAAAAGAAGAAGGAAAAGCAAGATATAGGTATTTACTCAACTTCATAGAAAATAGCCATTTTTCTTTATCAGGGGAATATCAAAAGTGGCTTCTTAAAAACAAATTTTTACTTTAAAAAAAGTGGCTTCATAGGCGGGTGATGAAAAATGAGAACACATGGACACAGGGAGGGGAGTACTAAACACTGGGGTCTATTGGGGGGAAAAGGGGAGGGCCATCGGGAGGGGGAGGTGGGGAGGGATAGCCTGGGGAGAAATGCCAAATGTGGGTGAAGGGGAGAAAGGAAGCAAAACACACTGCCATGTGTGTACCTACGCAACTGCCTTGCATGTTCTGCTCATGTACCCCAAAACCTAAAATGCAATTAAAAATTAAAAAAAAAAAAAAAAAAAGTGGCTTAGGCCGGGCGCGGTGGCTCACACCTGTAATCCCAGCACTTTGGGAGGCCAAGGCGGGTGGATCACAAGGTCAAGAGATCAAGACCATCCTGGTCAACATGGTGAAACCCCGTCTCTACTAAAAATACAAAAATTAGCTGGGCATGGTGGCGCACGCCTGTAGTCCCAGCTACTCGGGAGGCTGAGGCAGGAGAATGGCTTGAACCCAGGAGGCGGAGGTTGCGGTGAGCCGAGATTGTGCCATTGCACTCCAGCCTGGGCAACAAGAGCGAAACTCTGTCTCAAAAAAAAAAAAAAGTGGCTTAAACTTAGGGCTTTCCTGTCAACTTTCAACCTCATGTTTTTGTTTAGTAATAAAGACCTCTGAATTGTGTGTGTGTGTGTGTGTGTGTGTGTGTGTATGTGTGGGTTTTTTTTTTTTTTGAGACAGTCTTGCTTTGTTGCCTGCAGTGGCGCGATCTTGGCTCACTGCAACCTCCACCTCCTGGGTTCAAGCAATTCTCCTGCTTCAGCCTCCCAAGTAGCTGGGACTACAGGCTCGCACTGCCATGCCCAACTAATTTTTTTTTTTTGGTATTTTTAATAGAGACCAGATTTCACCATGTTGGTCAGGCTAGTCTCGAACTCCTGGCTTCAAGTGATCCACCCATCTCCGCCTCAAAGTGGTAGGATTACAGGCGTGAGCCACCTCGCCCGGCCTCTCTGAATATTTTCTAATAACTGCATTTTTCATATGGATGTGTACTTTGGAGCTAATGCTGCCATCTTTCTTTGCTCATTATATTCTGTTGTGATATTTACAGAAGCTGAGGTTAAATGGAAGTACCCACAAACACACACATGTTGTGAATTTATAGCTTCAGAATAAATGAGAATTCTTTTCTTTCTGAAATGTATGCAGTTTTAGAAAGTTGTAAAGGTTCTAGTTCATATACAAACTTTGAGAGAAAAGAAATGATCAGATTTTTTTTATTTTTATATATTGATCCTAAGAAGTAGGATTATCTTTAAGAAGACCCATTTATATTTTGAATTAAACATCTGTGAGCCTGTCTCCCAGAGTAGATTTGTTTCTTAAGTTTTTTGAAATCTACATAAAATCTCCTGGGAGCCCCATTTGTTCTGCATATATTTGTTGAGTGCCTACCTTCAAGACTGGACCCTAAATACTTCCTGATTCCTGGTAACTTATTTATACATTTAGGCAACTCACCAGTTAGCAGTGGTGGACACCCAGGCTTGCATTCCACTCCCTCACTCAAAACCAAACCTCCTGACCCTTGGCCCTCCCTCCTGATAAACTTACGACCTCTTATTATCACTGTCTCCAAAAGGGACAATTTATGGGAGAACTCACTTCAGAGCTCCTCCCTACCTCCCTTAAGACCCCATGCCCTAAAGTTGGTTGGTTGGTTTTTGTTAAAGTCAACCAAATTAGAGCTTTGTCTGTATGCTTTCTACTGATTGATTGAGACAGAGTCTCTCTCTGTCACCCAGACTGGAGTGCAGTGGTGCCATCCTGGCTCACTGCAACTTCCACCTCCCAAGTTCAAGTGATTCTCCTGCCTCAGCCTCCCGAGTAGCTGGTATTACCGGTGCGTGCCACCACGCCCGGCTAATTTTTGTATTTTTAGTAGAGATGGGGTTTCATCATGTTGGTCAGGCTAGTCTCGAACGCCTGACCTCGTGATCCGCCCACCTCAGCCTCCCAAAGTGCTGGGATTACAGGCGTGAGACACCACGCCTGGCTGGCTGTACTCTTTCTTAAAAACAAAACAAAACAAAACAAAGAAAACTGTACCTCTGAGAGTTAAATATCTGCGTCATTCACACAATTTACATCTGAGGATGGCCAAATATGAGTTTTGGCTTTTTCTAAATCGTCCCTAAAACTACTCCATGCCTAGGAATGGAGAAAGGGCCACTTCCTCCTCCTTCTCCTTCAAAAAGTGCTATTAGTATTACACTAGAAGTGTGTTAATTAGGCTGTCCTCCTTTTTTTCTGTAGGGAAAGTATGTTTCAAGTTCCAGATGCCTAACTTGCAAACTTAGAGGGCTCTTAAAGTTAGATTGCACAGAGGAAACTATGGATCTACTTTGATGCAAAAGTAAAATATCTAGTTGAGTTCTGATAACACATCCGGGTTTATAATGCAAACAGTCAATAGCTTGGACCCTAGGGCTTACGAACAACACTTTTTAGAATTGGGGGGCCAGGCAGGTCAGGCCCAGTGGCTCACGCCTGTAATCCCAGCATTTTGGGAGGCTACGGAGGGCGGATTACGAGGTCAGGAGTTTGAGACCAGCCTGGCCAATATGATGAAACCCCATCTCTACTAAAAATAAAAAATTAGCCGGGTGTGGTGGTGTGCACCTGTAGTCCCAGCTACTTGGGAAGCTGAGGCAGAAGAATTGCTTGAAACCTAGGAGGTGGAGGTTGCAGTGAGCTGACATCACGCCATTGCACTCCAGCCTGGGCAACAGTGTGAGACTCCGTCTCAAAAAAAAAAAAAGAAGAATTGGGGATCTCGGTTTGAAGAAGAAACGTAGGGAAGAAAATCTGAAAGGTCTTTCTCAGAAAACAAGTTGTTGATGTTTCTACCTCACAGACATGAGGTCTGTGAGGTAGAAATGACTAGAGAAGTGAAAATAATTTTCTCATGAGAGATAAGTAACAGTAATTACTGCTTGCCCTTCTAAGTCCTGTGCTCCCTAGCCCTGGAAGTGGGGCTACCTGGATAGGAAGGTCCATTCCGCCACTAAGATGCTGAAATTCTAAAATTGTATGAAATATTGTATCTTTGAAAAATTCACCAACTACTTTATAAGAATATAAATTTTCTAAGACTTCACCACTGTATGCTTATTCTCTTCCTATTCTCGCAGCAGGCCTTAAACTCTACCTTGCTCTGTGTTTACTTTGACAAATTTATGTTTTTTTCTGCCCTTTGAAGCTCTTCCCACTCTCCTTTATTCTTACCATTCCTTTCAGTTCTGAATGCCCTTGTCAACTTGCTCAGCAGACCTGAGGCAGTGTGGGATTGGAGCAGGAGCTTGGGAATCAGAGGCAGATAGTCTGTGTTTGGGTTCCCTATACTACTTACTGTCTTTATTGTTATATCATTTGCAAATTATAGAAAGTGCAGTGATCAGAGGCTTAATGAAAGGGCCTTTATTTTTGTGTCGGGGAGGCCCCAAGGACCATCTCCCCAGGTTTGATGATCGGCTGGGAGGACTTATGGGACTCAGCATATGGTTGTAGTCATGGCTGTGATGTATTGCAATGAAAGAGTACAAGAGTAAAATCAGGAAAGGAAAAAGGCACGTGGGTTGAAAGTCCAGGGTTACGCAGGGATGGCAGAGTCACACAGGACATGCTTAATTCCTCTAGCAAGGAGTTGTGACAACACGTGTAAAATGCTGTCTACCAGGGAAGCTCATTAGAGACT